CCCATTTCTCAGTCCACGAGTGATCTGACTTTATCTGTGAGTGAAGAAGGGGCAGAGCTAGAGGAAGAGGTAGGGAGGAGTTTAGGGCCAGCAACACCTCACCGTGACTCTGCCTACTTTTCTGATGGGGAGGCAGAACCCCCTGAGGAACCTGCTGCAGCTGTTGCTCCTGGAAGTGAGGGAGAAAAAACGGTGGAGAAGATAACAGTGGATGGAGGTTTTGTGGTTCAGGTGTGCAAAGAACAACTGATGGTCACACTGCAGGAGAACGTCACACGCAACCTGCTGTGCACTCAGAGGACCCCGACAGTGGGGATTTCGCCAGCTGGCCTTTTGAAGGACCAGGCTGTTCTCAGGCTCTGGACCCTAGAGCCAGAGGAGGGGCAGGAGGAGACGGAGGAAGAGGAGGAGGAGGAGGAAGAAGAGGAAGGGGCCAAGAAAAGCCACAGTGTGGATGTGGTGGATTCCCAGTGGTCAGAAAGTGTGGAAAATAAAGGAAAGGAGGAGGAGGCACAAGAAGAGGAGGAGAAGCAACATGAAGAGGCAGATGGAGAAACTGAAAGGATGGAGCCAAAATGCGAGGAAGAGAAAAGGAAAGAAGGGGAGAAGTCAAGTCACACAGAGAAGCCTAGCAGCATGGAGGAGATCCAGAGTGTAGCCATGCCTACTGTTGCTGAATTACAGGATGGACAGGAAGACTGTTCTGTAGCAGCTGAGCAGCCCAAAAAGGAGCAGGGACCTAGAATCCCTGTGATGCAAGCTGGTGAAGATATCAAAGGTAAGGGTCCTGCGTATGGTTGGGATGGTGGTAAGAGAGAGAGGAAGGACATTGATAGAACAACTGGAGGCAGAGCCAGCCCTACCATTAGGCAGAAAGAGGTGGCTGCCTCAAGCAGTGGATACTGAGATGCAGGGCGTGGTAAGGAGCTGAAGGACCAAACTGTTTGAGGGCACCTGGCTTTACTTTATCCTCAAAGCTGGGTGCTGACCATAGTTAACAGTGGGATATGTCGTTCTATCACTAGTGTAAAAATAAGATTCAGATGTCAGTCCATATGCACAAGGAAAGCAGTTCTGTCATCTTGTCTTTCACCCCAGGTAGCAAAACCTCTTAGGTTAGTTCTGAATGGATAGAGGAGACTGTTGCTTGACTGCAGTGGGTTCTAGAAGGTGTGTGTATGGGAGCGGGGGAGATAAAGAAATGAGAAAGCAAAAATGTGGCAGTTCAGTTTCCTACAAGAATGTTTCTATATCATTCTGGATTTTTTTTTATTTTTTATTTTTTATTTTTTTTATTTTTGGTAATCAGGGTGTCTTTATGTTCCCAAGTTGTCATGTGAAAAAGAATTTGAATTCTTTGAATCCTCTTTGAATTCTATGGTTTTACATATCAGGACATAATAAAAAAATCATCTGGTCCTTAGCAGATTTGAAAATTAGATAAAAACAACCTCAGAGGAACGACACATGACATATTACACAGTGTCATGATTTAGTTTACAAAAATAAAGCCAACATGAAGAAGCCATGTGTGAAAAACTAAGTACACCCTTACTACTTCCATAGGAATTGAGTGGCTATGTAGCAGCTAGGAGCTGCTAATCAAATGCTGTTGAGCAGTTGATCATCAACAAGTGTGACCACCTCTATAAAAGTTGTTTTAGCAATTTAGTGGTCTAGAGCAGTGGTCCCCAACCTTGGGCCTCCAGATGTTCTTGGACTACAACTCCTAGAAGCCTTCACCACCACCTCTGCTGGCCAGGATTTCTGGGAGTTGAAGTCCAAGAACATCTGGAGGCCCAAGGTTGGGGACCACTGGTCTAGAGCATTCACCAAAGGAGGAAGCACATCAGTAATGATCGTAGAGAAACAATTATTGCTCGTCAGTCTAGGAAGGGTTATAAGGCCATTTCCAAACCATGTAAAGTCCATCAATTCTACAGTGAGGAAGATTATTCACAAGTGGAAACATTCAAGACAGCTGCCAATCTTCCCAGGAGTGGACATCCAAGCAAATCTACCCCAAGGTCAGACCATGTAAAGCTCAGAGAAATAGCAAAAGACCCAAGAGTTACATCTCAGATTCTACAGGCTTCAGTTAGCATATTAAATGTTAAAGATAATGACAGTATAATTAGAAAAAGACTGAACAAGTATGGTTTGCTTGGAAGGGTTGCCAACTCTTCTCTCTGAAAAGAACTTGGCAGCACAGTGTAGGTTTGCCAAGTTGCAGCTGGACAAAACACATGACAGTGTCCTTTGGACAGACGAAACCCAAGAGACTATGTTTAACCATAATGTACACCACCATGTTTGGTAAAAACCAAACACAGCATATCAATACAAACACCTCATACCAACTGTCAAGCACGGTGGTGGAGGGGTGATGATTTGAGCTTGTTTTGCAGCCACAGGACCTGGGCACCTTGCAGTCATTGGATCAACCATGAATTCCTCTGTATACCAAAGTACAATATTCTAGAGTCAAATGTAAAGCCATCTGTCTGACAGCTAAAGCTTGGCCAAAATGTGTTGCAATGGCCCAGTCAAAGTTCAGACCTCAAATCGACTAGAATGCTGTGGCTGGACCTTAAGCGAATTGTGCATAAACAAATGCCCACAAACCTCAAAGAACTGAAACAACGTTGTAAAGAAGAGTGGGCAAAATTCCTCCACAACAATGTGCAAGACTGATAGAGTAATACAGAAAATGATTACTTCAAGTTAACGCTGCTAAAGGTGGCTCTACAAGCTATTGAATCATAAGGTGTACTTAGTTTTCACACACGGCTTCTCTGTTTTGGCTTTATTTTTATTAAATAAATCATGACATGGTGTAATATGTCATGTGTTGTCGTTCATCTGAAGTTGTATTGACCTAATTTTCAGATCTGCTAACGACCAGATGATTTTTATTATGTCCTGATATGTAAAACCATAACATTCAAAGAGGAGGGTACACTGTCTTTTCCCCATTGATTGTACATACAATCATGTATGGAATGGAAGCCTTCCTTTTTCTTCCTCTCATAATGACTTCAACTCAGAGTCACCCTGTAAAATGGATAGGCAGTAGATTCAAGAAAAGATAAACCATTGTAATTTTTAAAATCTACAGTTTACTTATTACCGTATTTTTCCATGTATAATACACCACCAATTATAATACGCCCCTCACTTCTCTAACCCAGAATTTCTTTCTTGCGAGGCAAGTGGAGGGGGAAAGCAGGGATCATCAAAGTGCTTTAATTCCTGCTTCCTTCCTCCACATTCTAGCAAGGAAAGTGCTTTTCCCCTCCACTTTCTTTGGAAAAAGCGAAGGGGGAAAGCAGGAATCAAAATGCTTTGATCCCTCCCCCCTCCTTTCTTCTGTGTATAAGACGACCCTAAATTTTTAATCTAAATATTTTAGAGAAAAGTATTGTCTTATACATGGAAAATATGGTATATACTGAAGTATGGAATTTGTTGTCATGAGATGTCTTTATAGTCATTGGCTGAAACCCAATATTAAGACACAATTTGAGTAGGCATACTGGATTTTGTAAGTCAGTATCTATGTAAATTTCATTGATTCAATGGGCCTATTCTAGGTGTGGTTTATTACTGGATTTCAGCCATGGCTTGGAGAAATAATTAAAACTAAAATAGACAGTAGGACTATGAATGACTATTAGCTGGAAAAGCTCAGTATCATTCCAGGTTCAGAGGCAGCACACTTCTGAGTACTACTTGTTGCATAAAATTCAGCAGAAGATAGTCCAGGCCCAGTTTATGATCTTCTAGGAGATACTGTGGGAAACAGGACACTAGAACTGGACTTGATTCATCGTTTTTGTCATTTCGGTTATTCACTATTTAAAGAAGGGCACATAACTTTTTAGGTACTTTCAAAATTTTGTATTTCTTTTTAAAAAAGTAGCCACCACCATATGAAAAAGAAATATTTAGAAGTAGTGAATAAATATTGCTCTCTGCACAAAAGAGTAACAATGCTACGGGGTCTTTTTTTTCTGGACTATAAATGCAATCAGTTGTTGCATCCTTTTTTTAAAAAGCGGATTTCGCTCACTCTTTCCTCCATAAGAGAGACCCCAGCATTTTTCTGAAAATCTATATATAAAGTCACCACATCTTTATCTTTCTTTTTCACTTCCCTCTTTTTCCCCTTCATTCCTGTTCCTACAGAGTCCCTGCTCAAAATTAGACAATCCTGAATGAACAAAATAATTAACAGTACTGTATACATAATTAAAAGTAAATAATAGAATACAGTTGTAGGTCTGTTTTTATGCTATGCAATATTTAAGAAGCTATTCTCAAACATTTTCCCCATGGACCACTGAGACTCTTGGCAGACTTTTTAATCAACCTCTTTTGGTGGCACAAATCAAAGTACTTAAGTAACTTTTATCTCACTAAATATATTTTGTGGGGGAAGAGGAGAGGAATTGCATAGACTACAGCACCATGTGATGAAAAATCAAAATTTCTCAACCAGAAAACTTTTCGCTTCTTTGATCCTCTGATCCTGCTCAGCATAACCTCTGTCTCTATTTAGAAGATAAGAATCAATTGCAGGGCCAAGTACTGTACAGATATTCTTGATTATTCTGAAACCCATTCATTCATTCATAAATAAATTCATGAACTACCTGAATGGAGTTCAGATTGTCAGTGGTCCACAGACTGCACTTTGAGAGCCTCTACTCTAAGTTCAGCATACAGTATAAGCATTCTTGATTTGGGGCTGGTTCCTTCCAAGGGAGGACCTAGAAGTATGTTTGGGCAGGAATACTGGGGAATACTGTGTGTTCTTAGTGAAATAACTATCTTTCTGTCTCTTTCATTTCAACCCTTCACTCCTTGCCTTGCTTCCATACCATCCACTGTGCTTGACCTCTGAATCTTGATTCCTCAACCCCATCACTCCTTCTGCCTGATCTTCACCTGATCCTCAACCCTCTGCCTCCAGCCAAGCTCTCTCGGTTGTCTCTCTCACTTCCCCCTCTGGCCTTGCAGACATTCCCTCCACCTGGTGGGGGAAGGAAAGGGCCGTTTTGGGAAGGAGCTGCTTTGGGGGAGGGCCCAGCCTTGAGCGGGAGAGAGGCTGCCATAGCAGCAGAGGATGAGGAGGAAGATGATGCTGAGGAGGAAGAAGAAGGTGGCGTGTCTGGACCTGGAGGGAGGGGCGTCCCCATTGTGGTGAGTGAAAGTGACGACAGCCGCAACTTGCGTGGTCTACTCAAGTCGCCGCGCTCGGCTGAGGAGGCAGCTGCTGAGCTCGATCGAAAGCGAAAGATGGTCTCCTTCTTTGACGATGTCACCGTCTACCTCTTTGATCAGGTGAGCTGTGAGGATGAGCAAGGCTGAGGGTGTTTGAGCTGGACCACAATCAGGTGGGGGGATTCTTTAATGTCTCTGTTTTCAAGCCAGCCAGCCCCTCTCTCCTCCTCTCAGTCATCCAGGCTTCAGTCCCTCTTTCTCTTGTCCTCTGTATATTCAGAGTTGTCCCCCCACTCAGCCTCCCACACTGATTTCCTTGCCTGCCTACACAACATACACCTCTTCCTGGACCTGATTTAAACTTAGCCATACTGACCTTGCACTTTCCCTCCCAGAAACTGCTTGTTGACATTCTGTGGGTAACAAGTTTCTCCCTGAGCAGTTAAGGGCTTGTAAGAATCCTGTAATATATCCAGCAGTAACTACAGGATAGATAGAAAAGGATCCTGCACACAGGATGTCAGGTAAAAGAGTCTGATGCCTGAACTTCTTCACACGGTTCCTACAGAACTTTATAGACCTCTAGGGAAAAATCAGAAACATGTGTTCATCACAGCTAGCATTTATCCCAAAACAGGGTTAATTCCAGAATGAAATCAGACAGTCATTTCCAATCATATCAAAATTTCTCTGGGTATTAAAGTATAAGTCTTTTCATGGTTGCAATAATTCCAAGCAACATCAACTTGTCTAATTATACAAGCTTTACTTCTACATGGCTTCTACGTTCCATAAGCACAAAGATACAGTGGTGCCTCGACTTACAAACTTAGTTGGTTTCATAACTCCGGTCATAACTCGAAATGATTGTAAGTCAAAGCACCATTTCCCATTGAAATGCATTGAAATACAATTAATCTGTTCCAGCTGAAGAAAAAAAATCACACACACACACCCCAAAAAAAGCACTGCAAGACTATCAGAAACGCAATTACTCCATTCCGGCCGAAGGGGGTGGGAGAAAAGCAAGCAAAGTGTGCAAGACCTATCGGAAATGCAAAAAAAGCAAAGCAAAAAGCAAGCAAAGCGTGTGAGACCCATTGGAAATGCAAAAAAAAAGCAAAGCAGAAAGCAAACGAAGTATGCAAGACCCATTGGACTTGCAGAAAAAGCAAAGCAGAAAGCAAGCAAAGTGTGCAAGACCCATCGAAAATGCAAAAACAAGCAAAGCAAAAAGCAAGCAAACTCTGCAAGACCCATCGGAAATGGGGGAAAAAACCCAAAAAGCAAACAAACTCCCCAAACCCAGCGGAAATGGGGAAAAATACTAAAAACAAACCACCCAAGACCCATCACGCCACAGAAACATGACCCCCCCAGCCCAAAACCACACTGTAAAACCCACCCAGAGCAGTTTTTAAAAAGTAGAAAGCAGCACCTTACCAGGTGGTCTGAAGCCTCCTCCAATCGCACTCTCTCTAACCATTGGGGCAAAAGAGCTACAACGAAGCAGCCTCTTCACCTACCAACGGATAGCAATTTGAATTTCCCACCTTTTTTCCCTGCCTTTTTCTGTTCGTAACTGGATGCTCTAGCCGCAAGTCAAAGCAAAATTTTGCAGCCAGAGCTCATTGTAACTCGAAATAGTCATAAGTCGGGATGTTTGTAAGTTGAGGCACCACTGTACTTCAAAAAGCAACAAGTCAAAATGTATTGAAAACATTCTTACAGCTGCTGAAAAATAGTAGGTGCAAATGCTTAAAAATATATATGAAAACTAACCTTAAATTTCAATCAATTAGTTAAATCAGAGTTCAAACCAAAATGCATGGGTATAAAAAGTATAATAAAGTACCAAAAATAATGTTTTAATTACATTCTGAAAACGCAGAAACTTAGAACCTAGGTAAGGTAACGGTTCCCTTAACATTTAGTCCAGTCATGTCCCACGGTAGGGAGTGGTGCTCCTCCCCTTTTCCAAACCATAGAGCCAGCATTTGTTCTTAAACAGTTTCCGTGATCACGTGGCCAGCGTCCTTAAATTTCAATCAATTAGTTAAATCAGAGTTCAATCCAAAATGCATGGGTATAAAAAGTATAATAAAGTACCAAAAATAATGTTTTAATTACATTCTGAAAAAGCAGGAACTCAGAGCCTAGGTAAGGTAACGGTTCCCCTTAACATTTAGTCCAGTCATGTCCCACGGTAGGGAGTGGTGCTCCTCCCCTTTTCCAAACCATAGAGCCAGCATTTGTTCTTAAACAGTTTCCGTGATCACGTGGCCAGCGTGACTAGACACGGAAGGCTGTTACCATCCCACCATGGTGGTACCTATTTATCTACTCACATTTTTACATGCTTTTGAACTGCTAGGTTGGCAGGAGCTGGGACAAGCGACGGGAGCTCACTCTGTCACGTGGATTCAATCTTACGACTGCTGGTCTTCCGACATTGCAACACAGAGGCTTCTGCGGTTTAACCCGCAGCGCCACCGTGTCCCTTAGAGCCTAAAGGGGCACAATAAAAGAGCCTAAAGGGGACAATAAGAAAGCATGGAATACAACAACTAAAGTATTATAGTTGTTAAAATTAAAAAAAAATCTATGAAAGTAAAATATAAAATATATTACTTAGCCTTTTAGCATATCTAGACATATGTGAAAATTATTCTCAGTCCTGACCCAGCTAAGCCAGTTGAATCTATGGAGGAAAATCCACATTCTCACCACCTGCTGTTGTTGTTGTTGCTACTGCTTCATGATCTCTGGTATCAATGTTGTTGGTATCTGGTGTGTGTGGCATGGCACTGTATGATGCTTTGAGTTCTGTTGATGAGTTGATGTGGGTGTCTCCTACCTCCATATATTTATATTTCTCACAGATGTTTACCTTTCCTTCAAACTCTAAGCATTCTCTTTTGCCAAACTTGTAACCATAGGGTCATAGAATCATAGAATTGTCGTAGGGTTGGAAGGGACCTTGGAGGTCTTCTAGTCCAACCCCCTGCCCAAGGAGGGAGACCTTATACTATCCTGGACCTCGTACTATCCCGGACAGATGGCCGTCCAATCTCCTGAATTACTAAGGAAAAATTGTAACAGAGATCTTTATTGCACTCACTACTTCTGATCTTACAGTTCCTGCAAGTTAGAACCTTGCAAACAGCCACCAAGAGAATAAGCATTATTGTTGTGACTAACAATTACAGAGGCTACAGATTTCAGTGGGTTGAAAAGAAAAGGGTTAATAAAACAAAGTGGCACAAGTCACAGAACCTGAAACACCTTGGGCCTGTCATATCAACACATTGCAACATTCTACTTCTCAATGATTTCAATAGACTTTCAAGGTTCTCCCTTTGTTTATGCTATCATTTGTAAACATGTTTAGTTCTCAGGAATATTGTATAATGACCTTGCTTTCAGACTTTATGGAAGCTAGCTGATTGTTTTGCAGTAACTTTTTATAAACTGCTTTTCAAACCTTGCTTTGTATGTTTTCAAGACTGCTTCTTTTTGCACACACCCAATTATTTTAACACTATCCATTAAAATGTTCAAATCTTAAGGGGACAAGCACCATCCAAATTTTAACCATGCATACATGGACACCTATGATGTCATCATGTGTAGTGTAGTGTAGTGTAGTGAAGGGATCAAATAAAAAGAGGAAGGAGCTGGACATGAAGTTATACCATCAACTTTGTCCTTTTTTCTGTGTAGGAGACACCAACCAATGAGTTGAGTTCACAGGGAGCCCCAGATGGAGATGCTCCTTCACCTTGCTTAACATCGGAACCAGGGCTTGATGCCTTCCCACCAGCTGATGGCTTCAGTGAGTATTGGAGCAAGGAGATCGGAGTATGTAGTAAGCCCTAGAAGTAATACTACTAGCCTTCCCTCCAGTTTTGGAATGGGTGAGTGGCTCCATTCAGTTGTGTTGCAAGAGAGGAAATAGCTTGTCTGTTGCAAGAGATCTCCTTCCTACTGTCTGCAGGTATGAAATGTTGGATGTGTTTTTTAGGTCTCAGCAGAACTCTGGCTTGTGAAGTAAAATTATAGTAATGTGTTCTACAAATTAAAAAGAAAAACACTTTAATACCATTCTTTACAATAACTTGTTTTTCACCCCTCTTCCCAAACAATGTGAAATGGCCCAAGCCTCATCTGAAGGGTCTGCTGAGGCAGGAATATGAAGTAGGAGGGTCCTGAAGCAGACATGAGTTCAAAGTCAGAAAAAGATTAGGGTCCAAAACTCCAGGCTTGGAGTCTCTCCATTAATCAGGATGTGCTCAGATTGAGGAACTTTGTAAAGGTAGGGTTTTATACTACTTGGTGTAGGGGGATGGGCCCTTAGAGATCAGCTGACTGGATATTCAGACAAAGCGATACTACACTCCTTGACACTTGGTCTATTGAATGTGTGGACAATGAAGGTGCATGAATAATAATAATAATAATCTTAGAACTGCAGAGCTGAAAGGGGCCCTATGGGTCATCAAATCCATCCCCTGTCTAGGAGACATATTGGGGAATTGAGCTCCCAACCTCTGGCTCCGCAGCCAGATACCTAAATCCCTGAGCTACCCAGCAGTTCTATTAATGAATAAATATTAGAGAGGAAGTCTTATTGGAAGCTTACTGGTGAGAATCCCAATTTAATTTCTCTGCTGGCTGTGTTACCACCCAATTTTGGTCCCCATTCTCCGGCAGGGATAACAGATAAAGACAGTGCTTCAATCAGTCTATATGTAAGCCAATTTATTAAACATATAGCTGGACCCCGTCCCTCAAAGGCGGACTGGGAGCCCTCATCATACATTGGCAACGCATTTTATAAGTTTCTTACAAAGGACAATAAAGCACAACATCCCCCTATTGGTCTCCTGAATCCTATGGGTGCCTGTTGGGTCATCCTATTGGCCATGGTAGATGTGAGAAAAATATCCAAATTGTATCCCAGGGTTAGTGGCTGCCAAGTTTGTGAATTTGTGTGAACCATTGTGCAGCTTATCTTTTAATATGTTAATGACGGATTATGAGCCATCTAAGTTACGGTATGTTACAGTCTTCAGTCTTTGCCTGAAGCGCTGTGAAAAGGAGTTATTCTGAGTTGGCCTTGAATGGGTGGGGGAGGTCTCACAAAGCTGTGTGATAATGTAGGAATGTTTCTGTTACCAAGCGGTAAGGGTCAGGAGCACCAAGAGAGACCCATGAGATGAAATGAGGATACAAAATACATTGACTAGAAAATGCATATAAGGTACAGATACAAAAATGTATATAGAATATCATAGTAAGGAAATAGTAAGAACTCATATGTAAAGCCGATACTTCATATATGTTATATCAGAACCTCATCCTTGCCCCCAATCAGCCGGAGAAATGAAACTGGCAGTATTTGTCCTAAAAAGTCAATTTCTCAAACTCTAATCTTCATATTTTTTTGTGATATGTAGGCTTGGAATGTTTTTCCTGCTTGGAGGCTCACAGTCTAAATTTGTCACACTCAGTAAGACAGATGGTGGCACAGATTTTTCTGTTGTTATTAAAAATGGATCCAGGGCAGGTTTGTGCCATAATAATGAAGTGGGAAGACAGAAAGTAAAACTGATTTTTCTTTCTTTCTATTTTAGGGAATCTCTGTCCTATCATTTGGATTTCCCAAATTAGTAAATTGGTTAAAATAATGATATGAAAACAAATGCATTATATCCATTATATAATTAAACAAGTAGCAAGTGAGAGGAGTATAGAACAGCAGAGTTAAAATTACCTTGTAAAAATACATTGCCATAGAGCATGAAAATAGGCTGAAGGCACAACATTGTGACAATTGAACAGAAAGCACCAAAATTGTAGAAAACTGGTGATACTCCTATTCAGAAATTAACTTAAGCAACTCTCCTAATGAAACTAGAATAGAAGAGGAGCAATATACTGGTAGAGGCCAACCTGGTCAATACTGAATGAATAGAGTAGGGAAAATCCATGTGCTCATCGATTATTGTGGTTCTGATTTTTTTTCCCCACTGCATTTTTCTCTTGGTACCAATTAGGGATGGGATTTTTGGACTAAGCATCCCACAGTTCTAAATTCTGGGAGTTCAGTCTGACAGACAGATTCCTTACAGGCACCTCAATGTTGTTCAACAGGGAGAAAGGCCTAGACCGAAAGGTTTGAGGCCTAGTTCTGCCCAAACTTCCTGTTCCTGCGCATTGTTAGCTGGGAGTTTTCTTTCTGAACAGGAAACTAGGCTGAGCTAGGCCTCAAAGATTTCCAGTTTTTAGGCCCTTCTCCCTGGTGAGCCATATATAGGTGTCTGTGAGTTAGAACTCCCACAATGGAGAATTATTCAAAATTCAATCAATCAATAAAAATAAAAACAATCCCCATCCCTGGTGCCCATATACGTCTGCATATTATTTTTTAAAAAAAACTCAGAAGACTCTGGAAACAGCCTCTCAGCTTGACCTTTATTTGCTCATTCGTTTCTCTCTTGTAATATTGGCTATGACAAAAGCTTGGGTTTAGCCCAACCTGGATGTCACTATTATTAGACCAATACTTTAACCTAGGGATGGGCAACTGCAGAGGTTCAGTTAGCTGTACTAGCCTTATCTCTCAGCTGCCCCCTCCCCCCTGGACTAAACACTCCCATTTCTTCAAACTTCAAAGTGACCCAAAGTTTAATTTGGCTCTTATTTGACATGCTGGGGGTGGGGAAAACAGCCATTAAATGTAGAATTGCATGAACCGGAAATAGAGATGTTAAATTTCTGAAAATGTCCATTTTTTTTTCCTGGGAAAAAAGGTTTTCCCTTGTTTTTTTTCCAGGGGAAAAAAATGAAAATTTTACATCTCTAGAAAAAAAAAATTAAATACATAAAGTCTCAGAAGTCTTTCATTAATGTCTTCATGTTCTATAGTTTTAATACCATGTCATAGATTTATTATTTATCATTGTAACATAACATATTTCCACACTCTATTTTTTTAAATTACAATTTTACTGGAAAAAAACACTAAAAAACGGATTTGGCAAAACACAGGGGGAAAACCTGTTTTTCCCCAATTTTTCTTTCTTTTTTTTTCCAGGCCTTTCCATCCCTATCCTTGAATATCCCAGAGAAATGATTCAGGGAGAGAGATCTGAATTTATCCCAGAAATAAGACCATTTGGATTGACCTGGAACCCCACTAAATGCCCAGTACAGGCTGTACACTTCCCCCAATCTTGCTTTAACTGTTATTCAGTGTTGACTCTGTACTACTCCTCCTTTCTACTGTTTCAGTCATTTCTTCTTCACTCAGGTGGCAGTTTTGAGTGGGATGATGATTTCCCCTTGATGGCCCAGAACCCGTCTTACGTCTCCATGGTGTCTGATCCCAATGCAACCAAGCCCCACCCAGCCCTGTCTTCACCAGGACCCATGGCACCTACCTTGCTGCCGGCAGCCAAGAGAGCTGAGTCTGGTCTTGTGGATGCCTTGAGGTTTTCACGCTTTACTGTCTCCCCTGCCTTGGAACCCCACCTTTCTCCATCTTGCGATACTGAACTTGGACCCACGGCCAGTAAGTGGATATAGATGTGTTGGTTTTTATCCAGGAGTAGTATTCTCCCATCCCTGTCTAAACTAGTGCCATCCAGGTGTGTTGAGATAAAGCTGTTTCATCACTAGTGGACTTGTGGTGTAACACAAACTGAAGGTTTCTAGAGATGGCTTTTATTTAACATTCTATGCAGCATTTGTTGGTGCCCATTAGAGATGATATTTTCAGATCTTCTGGATGACACCGGTAATAATTCTCCATTCTGAGAGTTCTGCCTCCCTTTCAGACAACACAAATACCTGGGGAAAAGGTGTAGGTTGGAAGACTTTGAAATTTAGCTGGGTCTAGCATCGCCCAAGCTTCCTGCTCAGAAAGAAAGCTCCCTCTAGCACCAGGACAGAAACAGGAAGCTTGGCTGGAACAAATCCCTGCTAAGCCTCAAAGCCTTCCATCTAGGCCTCTTTCCCAGTTGGTTTATATTCAGGTGTTTCTGACAGTGGCATAGCATGGGTTGCCAGCACCCGGGGCAAGGCAAGTATTGTGCCCCCTGGAGGTTGCCTTGGGAAGCAGCAGGGGAGGGGCTGATGGAGCCCTTTCCCCGCACCGCCCTCTCAACATAGCCAGCTCACCCACGTTGTTTGCGCCAGGGGAGGGAGGCCTGGCTGTTCTGGACTGCCATTCGCTCTCCCATTTTCTCCAAGGAGGCGGGTCTGCTCAGCTGTCGCCAAACCCTGCCGCCACCACCTGCCCAGAGGAAGAAATTGAGCAACTTAGGGAGCCACAGTCAAAAGAAAGGAGGCAAGGGGAGGCAAGGTTTGCGTACCTTCTTGCTCACTGTGCACTCCACCGTTGCTTGATGGCTGCGTGACAGGGCTGAAATTTTGTGCCCCGAAGAATTTTGCACCCAGGGCTACTGCCCCTGTGCCCTCGCCCCCACTACGCCATGGGTTTGTGAGGTAGAATTCCCAGAATGGAGAATGGTGGTATGTTTAGTCCAGAAAATTTAAAAAAAACCCCATCCCTAGTTCCCATTTTATCGGGTAGAGCAGAAGGTGCAATACAGGTGGGCGAAGCCAGGGTAACAGGCATTTGGTGGAAACAGGAAAAGGTGACCATAATGCAAGATACTCTTTTGCATTTGAACTGCAGGGTTTTTTAAAAAGAAAAATGTAAATTGCATAATGGGGGAAGAGTATTATAATTGTTGTAATTAATAATAGGTTTGGAGAGAATATTAATTTAACTTTTTCCATGTGCTGAAGTCCACAGAAAAAACCCTTCTAAGCTGGTATTTGCATTGAATGAAATCCCCTCCTCTGGTAACAATGGGAGGTTCCTCTACCATCACACACACCTCCAGCAGATAGTGGCTTCAAATAAGGCTCCTGGGCCACAGCAGGAGAGGAAAGAGCTAAATTTCTTCTGCCAACATACACCTGTTATGATCCTGATTATTAAACCTTTCAATATGGTACAATCTTAAAACATCATTTGTTGTTATGTGCTGTCAAGTCGTTGCCAACTTATAGCAACCTTATGAATGAGCAATCTCTTAAATGTCCCGTCCTCAGCTACCCTGCTTAGCTCTTATAGACTCAAGCCTGTGGCTTCATTTAGGGAGTCAGTCCATTTGTATTTGGTCTTCCTCTTTTCCTGCTGCTTTCCACCTTTACCAGCTTTAAACACCATACAAAATAAAATAGTCGTAGAGCAAATCACTCAGTTAAAATAACAGTCTTTTCTTCCCTCCCTTCTAGACCCAATTGAGAACTAAGACTAAGGAGAAATCGGACAACCCAGCTGCCTCTTGTCTCCACGTTCAGAGACGATGCCTAGTCATCCAGTTGACTTGCTGATTCCGAGCCACCATTTGCCAATTCCTATGGCAGATGGATAGACAGATGCGTGTGCGTGCGTGCGTGCGTTTGCGTGCATGAGACGGGGCCATTGTTGCTAACGGGAGCCTAACCTAAATGGACTTTTGCCATCTCTCTCAATGTGCCCCTATTTGGGGTGGGTGAGGCGGAACTTTTGTATGAACAATCATGGGACATCAGATGATGATGGAGACATCTCCTCGGTCTGTAAGGCCCCACCCACCCAACACTGGCTTTTGAATGTATAACTCCTATCCTTTCTTGGCCCTCTGTTCCGCTCTCTGATACGTCCGTTATAAGGACCCTCTGTGCCAAATGGAGTGAGTGAGAACCGGGTCTCCAGGACATTGCCTCTGGCTGTACATGAGTCCTCTGCATCCCCCTGAATCTCATCAGCTATACGTAATTCTGGAATATGGAACATGGCTGCCAGTCTGTTCCTCCTTTGTGCCAAAAGTGAATGGGCCTAGTGGCAGGATTACATAGAAAAGACCATTGATTTAAGCCTTCGATGGAGCAACACTAACAAGATGGAATAATCAAATCCGAATCCCTACTTTGGAACTACCAAGGGATGACTGGACTCAGTAAAACAGGTAGTGAGATTTGGTTGGATGGGGGATGGGGACCTTTTTCCTGTCCCCCAAGAGGCTGAGTCATCCCTCTCATTTTTCAAAAGTGATATGCCTCTGTCTGCATCTGTCGATTGATACCTGAAGTGCTAGGGAAATATGCTGAATCGGTTACACCACCCATCTGTAAGTGTAAAAGACACTGTGGCTAGTTGGGAACGGCACCTTTGATATTATCCTGATTGGTTGGTGCATCATATTTGGAAGTTTGTCCATGGTTCATATGTAGCATTGATGGAGGTGACTGGCCTTTCTTGGGACTGGCCTGTCAGGACCTTCCCAATTCCCAACTGGTTTATGCTCAGAATTTTCAGAAAGTTACTGAGTCCTAGGAAAGTACTGTTAAAGTGGCAGAGATTGGTGTAGCCATTGATCAGTTGTACTGAAAACAGCACATGAAGAGAAGTGGTTTGATTAATAAATGCAGGGGGCTTCAGAAATTGAGGGAACCTGGTAGGGTTATTTATGACTTGAGGTGAAGAATCTTGTCCACTCCTGCACTCTGTTTGTCATACACTATACCCACATTTTGGATAAAAGAAATGTTGATACAGGATTAATCTTGAGGAGGGGCAAATAAATGCATGGTCTTGCCATCCAGCAGGGGGGTGGGGTGGGAATTAGAACTGGTGATCACCCAAGCTCTTCCAGCAGTAATTTCTGTAGAAAATGTACAGCAAACAGTATATTGTTGAATTTGCCAAGACTGCAGTAATGATAGTCAGCTTTAATTACAAGGTTGGAACCCTTGGATTTAAAGATATATTAGAAGGTCCTTCTACTGTATTTTACAGGGCAAAGGTACTGAACACTCCTTTCCCTCATTCTATAAGAAGAATATTTGTGCCTAACACAGATGAAACAAAGACAACAGATATTTCAGATGGCAGCTCCTGCTTGTAACCTGAGCGTATGTGTCCGTGTCTTTGGTTTATGACTTAGTTATATTATTTTTTAAATGAGACTTGGTATTTTCTGGCATTTAGACCTAAGGAGCCATAAATTGGCCTTTCTTCCACTTGTTCACTTCTGATGTGCCAGACAGATGGCTAAGCCATCAGACACTTTTAGTAAACTCAGGAGCTGGTAATTTAGCAGGAGAATCGATCTGCTTATGAGCAAGAGCTGAGAGGTGGGGAAGCCAGTAGTCATAATTGGATGCCATCTAATTTGTCTAGTCAGGTGGGACTCTACTGGACTTTTGGGTTACCTGAACTATAATCAACTAATACTTGCAGGACCACCCTGTGTGAACAGCCATGCCCCATTCCACCTTCAACATATTGGAGCTAGTCTGTTTTTGAAAGCTTGAGGAGAGGCAGGCCTGAAGAAGACTTAAATGGGAGAGCACCAGGTATGCCAGGGATCACCAAATAGGAAAGATTTCAGCCTGAAAGCCTAGAGAGTCACTGCCAGTCAGACAGTAGCTATATGGAACAATAGTCTGATTCATTATAATGCAGTTACTTGTGTGTACTGCTTATGACAAGTTGTTGTAATGGGAAGCAAAATAAGGCCTTTCGGTTTGGCCACCAGAGCCTCTGATTCAAGACTCCTGTTATCTTACACCAGCTTATATTTCCCTAAAGCTACTAAGGCTAGCTGTCATCACAGCCTCCTGTTACTTAGTCTCCAATATGCTGATATATTTTGCTAAGTGACACCCTACTGATGCTCATCTGCCTGGGAGCAAAAACCCCACAACACCCACCATTTGAACCCTCAGAGGTTGCCTCAGTGACCTCTGGTCCTGGCATGATGAGACTTGGCAAACCTCATAGTTTCTGACCCTGAGGTGAAAGGTAGAGCTGTGTTGATCCTTGGTTTCCAGTTGTTGCACTTCATACAGCATCTGGCCACACTTTCTCCAGGAGACCTGATATCCACTGTGAAAATCCTTGGCTTCTGGGGTGGTGCTCCCTATCTGAGGCATCCCTTTGTGCCTAAAATGGCCTTTCTGGTAGCATCATTTTCATAACCTCAGCTGGCTTTTGGATTTCCCAGGTAGAACAGATCCTACATAGCTGTCCAAAGAGTGTATGCCGGCATAAGGGTGCAAGGGCTGTGGGGGTGGGCGTGCTTGCCGTACCCACATTGTCCCCATCTACGCTGCTGCCACCCCCACCCTCCTCATATTGTGCTGAAAGCTTCGAAGGAGGAATCGCTTGTACTTTTTGCCACAGAATTTTCAAATCCTCCTCATGACTGGATTTTTCAGGCACATAGCTGAACATGCTTGGAAAACCCTTTAAATCCTCATTGTTCAATATGTGGACTTCAAAGGTGGAGCTGGGATGTCTAACGCCAATTGAGTGGATGGTGTGGGACCTGAGGTGTATACTTTCCACACTTCATACACCAGGGCTGGCCACTGGGCAGAGTGCGGGGACTGCTTGAGGTGGCAAATACAGGGGAAAGAATCTCCTGGCCATTCCTTCTCTTGGAGGACAGACATGTGCTTGTCATTCAGGCTGTCTCGTAACCCTCAGCCTGCCTACTTACCTCAGGTGTGGTACAAAAGCCTATCCCGTCACCAGTGCTGAAGTAAATGCATGTGCTGTTCCAGTTTACTTGTGTAAATAGAGAGGATGGGGGTGAATGAATAGGAATCATCTTGTTCTTTGCCTCCAGCAGCAGTTATATCTGGGGATGGTCCTTTTAGAAGGTAGAAGGAGCTGAAGCTGAAAAACAGCATACTTTTATGGTGGATATCAGTTATCTCAAAACAAAGTGTCCACTTTGGTACCGTGTCAGGACTTCTATCTTTTTCCTCAGTGGGGCAGGGGCAGGCATGAGTGCTTGCCTGGATTCCAAGATGCTAAAATGGCTGACCTGAATCGGTGACAGGGTTCCAACATTTGCCACAAGCCACTACTTGGTAAATTTGGGGGAAAGCAAGAGGAATGAGGGTCAAACTATAGAAACATGTTGTTAGAAGTAGGAATTCCTTGAGTTGAGGAGTATCAGGGCACAAGCTTTCTGTACCTCTTGTCACTTGCAAATTAACTCACTTCGTTCTGTGATTAGTCATCAGGCGGCAGACAGAGGATACATTTGCAAGTATGATCGCTCGGGGGTAAAACTACCAGGATCTTGTCTTTGGAACACTTAATACACTTTTATTTTCTAATGACATGCTATCTGTATAGTTGCACCCCAAGAGTGCTTCCAGACTACGTCAGACCTCTAATCAAAAGCACTGGGCAGCTACTCCGTCTGTTCTTAAATAGAATGGTGGGAAAAAATAGGAGGGTGTCATATGGGGGCCGACTTCCTTTGCTAAATTTGTGATCTGAAAAAATGAAAGAGGTATTTTTCTACAAAAATCCCGAACAAGTGGATTGGGGAGAATGAAGTTAAAAAAACATACCCAACTTCTCTTCTACACAGACGATTCCATAGGGGGTAAATGGACAGAAGAGTGAAAGGATACGGACAGTGACTATTTCCAGAATTGAATGACTTAATTAGGTGGGAAGGATGCACAGGAGGGAGTGGGGAGATGGATAGATGTCTTGTGGGGAATGAATGGTCAGAAATGTTAGTATGCGCTGGATGTAGGGGTGGTGATACGTTAAAGGAAGGGTTGTGGGAGGCATACGTACTTAGGGATGGGGAGAGTATTTAAAATATCAGAACTTTAAAATGTCAAAACTGCAATGATAATAAATTGTGCATATTTGCATACCTTTAATTAATTTGTCTAATTTGTCACTGGTAAAGGTTTGAGTTTCTCTGGCTTCTGAAAATGGGTGTGCAAGGCAGAATGACAATTAGCATACGGAATAAATTTTTCAGATTTCAAAGGTTCAGTGGGAAATAGAAACATTGGTGTAAAGAGACTGAGCAAACATGAAGATCTCAAAGCCAATTTTCATTATGCTGAAATTGGAAGTGGCCAGAATTCAAATTAATGCTTTTAAGAAAATGACACCTAAACAAGACAGAGCCTGTACACCAGGATTTAGAGCTGAATCATTTTTCCTAAATCAGTTTCCCGTGTTTTAAGGAATATGTTCTTTTCAGGTGTGGGGGCCCTGGCAATTGCAAATGCAGGTGAATCCTATGGCCCATCCCTTGTGTAAAGTGGCAGATTGTAGCCTGTGAAGCAGGTAGAACATAACATCTGCTGTCCTGACACATGAAAGTCCCCCCAGTTCGTGCCCTCCTTGCTGAACCACATTTAAAGCCATTCTCATTAATCCACACAATCTAAAATGTCTTCTTTCTAAAAATGAAAGCAAGCATTCTGTGTGTGCCATGAAGATGTTGGTTTAGACAACAGGGGACATAGCATAACCAATCAAAAGAAATTGTCCAACTACCCAATATTTTATTCCTTAATATAGTTTCTTCTCTCCCATAATGATTTTCCACCATTTCTTCATCTTTTGTTGTCTTAAAGATGAAGAAATGGTGGGAAATCATTATGGGAACTTTTACAAATGTTAACTTTGATGTCTACAACTCCTCCATAAATGAGGCATGGGGTGCAGTTAAATATAAATTAAAGCTTCTGCCCTTTTATATGCTACAATATAGCCACTCCTCACCTTCTCTACTTCCTAATTTCTAAACCCACCTGAGTTGAGGAATGGGAAGTTGTGTGTACAGATATCAAAAGTGTTGTTTTCCATGGGAAAATTCCATGTACCATCTTGACTTGTCCCTCCTGAAATTTGGCATAAGAAATTGTAGACATTTCATCTCCATATAATGAAAACACATTGAGAGGCTTAGGTTTATATTAAACTTTATTAATATTAGAATTAGGAAATATCAACAAGGAGATATATACATAGCTAATAGGACTCCCCCCCCACATCTTATAGACACCTGCACAGCTCATATTATACATCCCTATGCAATGGTGCTTTTTTTACACATACACATATGAACAGCTGGATACCCCCAAATGGAACCTCATAATCCTTAAACACAATATGTTCAGAGCCAGTCGGATATGTACAAATGCACAATGTTTTCTAAGGAAAAAAAAGAACATGTACCAGTTAAGAATGCTGCACAAAATGCATGTACAGTGGACCCTCGACTTACAGACGACTCCACTTACAGACTTTTCGAGTTACAGACTTCTCTGGCCGCAAAATTTAGGTCTGACTTGCAGCCGGAGAATCGACCTACAGACCGGGGGGAAAAAATGGAACAAAAACCGCTGGTTACAGATTAATCGGTTTTCAATGCATTGTAGGTCAATGGAGACTCAAACAACAGCCTTTTCAACCTGCAGCCACCCTTCCAATACGGATTAATTCCGTAAGTCAAGGGTCCACTGTAGTAGCTTGGTAAACTGTCTATGGATTACTATCCCAAACAAGAAGTCAGGAGAATGTTACTATTCTAGTAGTCCCTTCATTTTCTGATCTGATCCAAGGGTGATCACCGTTTAAGAGAACTCTGCAGCCCTGAAGCATTTACATGCACACTGTGTTAAATTGCTATTTGGTAACTGGTTTTTGTCTGCTTTCACCCACTTGTGCCTACACAAATGTTTGGACAGAAGAAAAGCGGGGGGGCTGTAAGCACAACCTGAAAAGGAACTTCATCAGTCTTTACAATTCACTTTCGCGCGTTCTGGTTTTGTTTTGCTGTGTTAGAATTAGCTGTGCACCTGCAAACCAAATGCCACCACCTCCATGTCTTCAAATCAGAACATCCCTAACACCAGAACTTTCCCAACATCCCAACTTGAAACTGCACTTTGAAAACTGATCTTTCATCTATGAAATCTGGCAAACTGAATTACCACTTCTGTCTTTTCAAGTAAAAATATGCCAAATGCAAAATCATTTCAGCATGGTTTCAACTGTAGTATGGATGGACAAGAAACACATGCATACACAAAATATGTGATGGGTTGTGGGGGGGGAGTAATTTTCTCCTAGCAGAGGGCACAAAATGCAAAGATAACGTTTACTGGCAAGAACCATGTTAGCACAGCTCTATGTGCTAAATACACGGTGTAAAGTTGTGTCACACAGAGTTTCAGCTTACATCTTCAAGTATGCCCCTAAGGCTGCACTCCTATATCTACTCAGTAAGACTTGCTTCTGAGTAGATATGTATAGGATTGTGCTATAAGTATGATAAAATTAAATACTTGTTAATAAGGCACACAGTCCCATCTTTTAAGATAAATTACATAGGGCAATCACACTCTAGTGTCTAGTGGGGCTGTCTGTGTCACTCTTGTGTCATCAAAGATTATGTAAGAAATGAAGGTGGAAGAGCGACAATATCTGCATGCTATGCTTTTAAGGCCATAAGTGGGAACTGGAGTGATGCAATTCCTCTCTCAAATATCTGAGCACTGCTCATACCTGGAGCACACACATCTACAGAGAAAAATAAACAAAGGGCTTTGGATGCTTATGATAATCATTTTACCTTCAGAGAGCAAAATAGTTTGGTTAGCTCTGAATAAAAACCTTGTGTGGAAACATCTTCACAAAGCTGCCATGATGGCCTTATTAACCTGCACAGACAAGTCCCAGAGCTTGGAAAAGCTACCTTTTTTGGACTACAATTCTCATAATTCCCCCAGGCAATAAGTTATGAAGCCTGCATCTCTCAAAGAAGCTTCTTCTCCTTTGCACTCCATTCACCTCATGATCATGCAGATGAATCCAAGCTGAAGCCAGTTCATTGATTCTGATTGCATAAATCAATTCTCTGATTCTATGAAATCGGGCTTATCAAGCCACAATGGGGTCTTGCAGGGCGCATTATCTAAAAGTAGTCAGTTTTGTGCTTTGGATCAAAATGCCCGCATTTTGATTTCCAAGACAAAAATACTGTTGCGGTACTTTTTGTTACACATTTGAAGCACTAAAATTTAGCAAAGCAATTATCTTCAAGTCCATTAACTGCCTTACTTTAACTTAATAACCCCCCGCCCCGAAAGACTCAGGAGTCCTGCCCCCTGGTTCATCTGTCTACAACCTACTATGCTACTTGAAGACCATGGCTAAATTTCTTCCATACCACCATGTATCCTAGTGTAAGGTTATGGTTAAATACATGACACTACACATCAACAGACATTGCAAAGTGAAACTGGGAGGAAAATTTGTGGCCTGTGTTTTGTGAAAGTATGTACGTGAAACTGATGTTTTTCTATGAAAATGTATAATGTTTCTATTCAAAGAAGACTGAAAGCTCACTATCTGTGTGGACTAATTCAGCAGTGTTCATGGACTATCCAGCAGTCCATAGACAATGGGTTAAGAACCACTATACATCCAGAGATGTCCCATTGGAATTCACAGCTACAGTCCAGTGGCTACTGTACATGGATGCCATTACTCAGTGAAACTAATGGCATGCCTATCTGTAATAGCTATTTCTGCTCAAATACCGTTTTCATGCAACCTGCAAACATCTGCTTCTCAGTGGAGGCTGTTCACATATTCAGTCCCTAGTCATCAAGGGCTGCTCCATAATGCTTGTCACTTAAAAGCTGCAAGATGAGGGCTTCAGTTTACAGTATTAACAGACCAACAGCTACTTAATATCACAGTAAAATGTTCATATCTGTTCAAATGTTGCTTACTTGAACCAATTTGTAGCCGTTTGCCAAATGAAGTGAATTAGATCTGCAAATCGTTGGGCAAGCGAGCAATGAACTACCAAAGTGATGAACACTGCATGTGTGAAACAGCCTCAGTTTCACCTTTTCTAGAATTCTCAAATCATCGTTACAATGATCTCCATTCTTTCCCAAACCATTCTTTCTTTCCTGGGCTTCAATCTCATCATCTCCACTGTCCTACATTCTGAGACAGTTCAGATAAAACTGGGTGACTTGCTGTTCTCAGCCCTTAATTTGTGGCCCATCCATGATTATTATTCTATCACATGATGAAATGTTACACAGTTCCAGGGTTATCATGTGATTGTTGCAGTCATCAAACAAGCCTGCTGAACCCAAACTAGGAGTCCTGTTGAAATCAGAGGCATTTAAAATGCAGGGAATCTAATTAGATTTAAACATTTCTCATTTATACTCTGTTCTTGTTGTGAATACATACTGCTGAAAAGATGTGATGTTTTTCAGACATAGTAAGTCAGTACAACTTTAGCACTAAGGCACCTGAATATTATCAATATACCTAGAACCAATTATGTGCCTTCAGAACAGATATTTTGCAATGTGAAAAGCACCAGAATGGCTTCTGTCCATCTTTGTTTTCTCTTCCTTCTGCCCATCCTCCAGTCCTACATCCTCCATCCTTCTTCTGCCTCTGCTCATCCAACTTACACTTCTGCTTCCGTCACCGGCATCCTAGATCCCTCTTCTATCCTGCTCCCTGCACCCCATCCTTCTATCTTTAGCCTTCATCTCTTGCAGGGACTGTTACCAGAAAACAAAACCACACGGCTTCTCTGTTGCATGCTATGTCATCACAGGGTCCAATCCTGGGGAGCTGCAAGAGACCTCTCCCTGGCCATGAAAGAAGATGGGGACAGGCCTGCCTTAGCTTGGCCAGCACTGCCAACTCACAGCTGGAAACACTTGGTTAGGTGGGAAAGGCCACACAATGGGGGCTAGAGATTGACATTGGGGCAGTGGTGTATCTTCACCAATCGCTGCACCTCTCACTGGATGAGTGGGGCTGAGCGGTCATTGGTCACTGTGCGTTTCAGCTTGATGTGAGCAAACGGGTTGGTCCTGTACAGGAGAAAAGGAAAGGGTCAGCATGGCAGGAAGGAAGGAAGTCCAGATTCTATGGATGATTTCTGAAGTGAGGAGGAAAAGGAAGAGCAGCTTCAGCAGGAACAGAAGCAGGAATTATTTTCAAGTCTGCAGACAGATGTTAGAGCTTAGAAAAGTTCCTTTTTTAACAACTCAACTCCCAGAATCCCCTCCCCAGCCAACGTGGCTATTCTTCATCGTGCGTGGGGCATTTTGGGAGGTGTAGTCCAAGAAGGTAACATTTCCAATCTCTGATTAGGGTAAAACATATTACTGAATGAACTGGCAATGAAGAATGTATCACATTGGACTACGCATAGCACTTTGAGATGCCCCATCTACAGTTCTATTTGTTTGATTCTGTACCCTGTCTTTCAATTGGCAAGAATGCCCAGAGCAACTGGGCCTACATAAAGCCTACATAAACACAGCAAAAGCATTCACAGAACAAGATTACAAAACAAACACAGAAGAAAAAAAGGGGCAGGAAAACACCAACAAAACTGACAATGTCAAAACTCACAACAGCAAAATTTATCTTTTCTGAGAAGGTAATTCCACAGCTAGAGTGCCATCTTAGAGAAAACCTGGTAGCCTCTGGCAGTTGTGCTGGTAATTGTGCTTGGAACGGGAATGGAAGCCAGGGGAGTTTATGTTGCTGTTTAGTCATTAAGTCATGTCCGACTCTTCGTGACCCCATGGACCAGACCACGCCAGGCCCTCCTGTCTTCCACTGCCTCCCAGAGTTGGGTCAAAAGGAGAGTTTATAGTATGTGTTAAACTACTTAATCCAGTCTGCTTATGTGCACTAAATTTTCTACTAACAGAATCTTCCGAACTAGCTTCAAAGACAGCCCAGTACAGAGTGTATTGTAATGATTTCGCTCTGATATTCTTCTAACAAGTACTAGTGGACACTAATAAAAATCACCCTGAGTTTATAAAATCAATACAGTCATGCCCCACTAGATGATTACCTTGCAAAATGATACATCAGCATGATGAGTTTTTGCGATCGCTATAGTGCTTCGCAAAACAGTGTTTCCTATGGGTGATTTTCGCTATACTGTATGATGTTTCGGACTGTGCTTTGCAAGACTTTTTTTTCGGGACTGATGCTTCGCAAGGTGACGATTTTAACAGCTGATCGGCGCTTCGCAAAACGGGTGTTTTCAGGACTGATGCTTCGCAAGACAGCGATTTTAACAGCTGATCGGCGCTTCGCAAAATGGCTTCCCTATGGGTGATTTTCGCAAAACAACGACGATTTGTCCCCATTGGAATGCATTAAATGGATTTTAATGCATTCCAATGGGGAATTGCATTTCGGAAGATAATGTTTTCACAAGACAGCAATTTCAATGGAACGGATTAACATCGTCTTGTGGGGCACCACTGTACATCTGGGGCAAAATATTGCAGCCTGGTCTTTTGTTTGAAGGGCAGTTTTAAAGGGAACAAGGATTTGTGTGACTTTTCCCCTGCAGTCTGTAGTGATGCACTCCACTGTACCCACCCACTTCTCAAGAAGTGTGTATCAGACTAACACAATAACGTTGGAAATCACCTGGAGGGAGAGAGCCAGCCCTTGGACTTTGTTGAACGTCTTATGCACACATAAGGAAGAGCACATTAGAGAAGGGGATGCAGTTGCCCACCTTCAGAGTGATTCTACCTCCGCTTTAAATGTGCTCAGAGTGGGCAAGAGTGTTATAAATCACTCTGAACACACTTGCCCACTCTGAGCACATTTAAAGCGGAGGTAGAATCACACTGAAGGTGGGCAACTGCATCCCCTTCTCTGATGTGGCATCTTCAACCTACAATTTTTTGTTAAAACAGAGAGGGATATAGCAGTTGTTTGATAGTAAGGGTGTGGTCAAAAAGATTCATATGTGGGTGGATCACCCAGAAGTTATGCAGGTTTGGAAATGAGTCTTGGATTTAATAAATGAAATGATGGGACAATGGATTACATTCTGTAGTGCTCTTTTAGTATGATTTTCTTTGCTTATTGGAGACAATTGTATGTTTCATAAATCAGTGGTTGCAGTATTGTCAGCGAATGCACACCAGGAAGTGGCAAAAAATGGGAAGACTTTGGAAAAATTAGACATTTCAAATTAGCTTTCTAGAACTTAAACAGTTTTCTAAGAGAAGCTCAGCCAGCTACTTAAGAGCGCAATATGGTATCAAGACTGATTTCTCAAAACCTTTTCTCATTTACTACATATATTAAAAATACTGCATTATTTTGGGGATCACCAATACAGCAATCAAAGTTCTGGAAGAACATTGTTCATTGATTATTTCTAAAATGAGACAACAGGACTGGAATTTGCAATGTTTTAAAATAAATGATTATAAAGGAACTAATTACAAACAGGCAGGATGTGTGGACTCAGCTTACCTTTCTGTCCCATCTCTGTATTTCTCTTTCCTTATGTTTATATTCCTTTCCTAATTAGTCCCAAAATAAAATGAAATAATAACAATAATAAAGAATAGGTGATGCAGATGGTTTTAGGGGAAGAAAAAGATGATTATAGAAGCCATAAGGAGTCTCTTACCTTGAAGGAGAGCTGGATGGACTCCCAAACTCATTTGCTAGCTAGAAAGAAAAGCAAGACGGAAGTACATTTATATTTTAAAGAATCCTTTCTTTTCTCTGTCTGTCTACAAATACAGTGGGGTCTCTACTCAAGAACGTCCCTACTTACGAACAATCCAACTTAAGAACAGCTCCATTTGCTAAATTTTGCTTCTACTTGAGAACAGAAATCCAAGATAAGAACAGGAAAAAAAACCTTTCCTGCTCTTTTTTTAACCTTAGGTCATCTTAGGTTAAAAAAAATTCTCCCCCTAGTGGTAGAGTACGTATTAACCAGCTTTGCATTAGTTCCTATGGGAACTAATGCTTCAATGTACGAACGCACCTCTACATAACAAAAAAACAGCTAGAACGGATTAATTGGTTTTCAGTCCATTCCTATGGGAAATTTTGCTTCAACTTAAGAACGTTTCAACTTAAGAACACCATTCCAAAATGGATTAAGTTCTTAAGTAGAGGTTCCACTGTAGTTTCTATGGACGGAAAAGAGCAGATACGGATTAAATGGTTTTCAATGCATTCCTATGGGAAATGCAGATTCAGCATAAGAACTTTTCAACTTGAGAACCACCTTCCAATACGGATTAAGTTCTTAAGTAGAGACCCCACTGTAAATTTATTGTATTTATTAAATGCCTATAATTTATGAAACTTCTCCAGATATTCCTAAAATAGAAATTGAAAATAGAACTCAAATACAAATAAAGATCAAAATCACAACACAACAAAATACAAATATTAACGTAAGTACAATAACTAATCAAACATGACAAAAGCAGAATATAAAGCCAACTTGATAAAATACAGTTACAAATGAGGGGCTGAAAGCAATCAAGAAATAAGACAGCTGGAAAAACGACCATCATGTAGGGTTTAAATAGCAACAATCCAGGTCTCAAGACCAGAGAAAATCCTCCATTTGTTGAACTTTTATAGAAAAGCTGGGCTAAAGGGAAACCATTTTTGCCCAAAAATGTTGCTCAGTGGGATTTTGACCACTAGATGGCAGCAGAGAAACACCAAGACACACGTGGTATTTCCTCTAGTTGGCACTCTTCACTTCTCCTTCCTGTTTCTTTCTCTCTGTTACACCCCACCCCACCCCACTCCGAAGCTCACCTGTGACAGATCAGGGTTTAGCATGCTGTAAGGGCGTTGGCGGGATGCACTGGCTCGAAATGAAAGCCCATAGTGTGGGCCATCCCCACCATCAGGGCCAGCTGTTGGAGACCCAGCACGGTCCAAATTTCCTGTACTGCTGCTGTTCATCTTGCTAAGTGGGAAGCCACTAGTTAAAAAAAAAAAGGAGAAAATTCAAAGCTATTTGTGCCTGGTTGCAGGAGATTTGATTCTCCAGTTCATGTTTCCCTTTGAGGGAATCCTGATGCCTCAACACGCAGCCCTCCACCCCATAGTATCCCTTCATCCACCACTTTTTTTGGGGGGGGGAGTTTACCTCTTTTCTATCAAACAGCATTCCTCTCCCCAAATTTACAGAAATATAATAGATATACCTGCCCCATCCCATCTCTTCGTCCAGTGATGAGAAGAGCAAACTCTGGAAAGTTATTTTTCAAAAGTCATTAATTTCACTAGCTCAATTCTTAATTCTTACTGAATTACTTGGAAAGAAGGACATTGTTTTTATTAATCAGAATACTTCAAAAGTAACTCATGCTATTTATTACACTGTTACCTTTTTGCTACATTCCGTAATTTTTCTTTCAGAAATGCATTGATAAAAGAATACAGTAAACTTGAAAAAATTATTACCAAAAGGCCTCTAAAATTCCCCTTGAAAGTAAATTTTGAAAGGAACTTGAAAATATTATTCAATTCACAAAGAAAGCCACTTTGATACAATTCAATGCATTAGTTTTAAATGTATTTGTTAACCCTTCAATCAAGTACTTACAGAAAACTGGATTGCTTGTGACAGGTAACTTCAAAGCTCTGAGTAAATGTAACAGAATAACAACCCTTTTGGCAGCAAAACAATAGTGATGGGATTTGCCCATCGAAACATGTCTGTTCTTAGCCACAGAGTCTCCTTCATTGTATGCACTGGGATCATAGTAACTTCATGACTGGTATGAGCTGTGGCCCAGCCTCATAGCCTTCCGAGGAATTCAGAGCTGGGAAACTCACAGATTTTTGGAACTTAAATCTAATAAGCATACTTTTTCAAGCTCTATTGGTGATGCTGTCACTTTGGCAGATACAAAGATAGTAGTTTTGGCTCTATGGTCTCATTCCACGCAGTTGCAATAAAGGTGGATCTTGTGACATCACTACAGTGGTGCCTCGCTTAATGACGATAATCCGTTCTAGGAAAATCACCGTTAAGCGAAAACATCGTAAATCGAAATCAAAAATCCCATTGAAACGCATTGAAAACCGTTCAATGCATTCCAATGGAGTAAAAACTCAGTCCAGCGAAGATCCTCCATACGGCGACCATTTTCGCTGCCTGTATAGCGAGAAATCCGTCCCTAAGCACAGCAGGGAGCCATTTTAAGTACCCGGTGGCCATTTTGAAAACCCGACAATCAGCTGTTTTTGATCGTCGTAAAGCGAAAATCGGTTCCTGAAGCAGGGAACCAATCATCGCTAAGCGAAATTCCCCCATTTAGACCATCATTTTGCATTCTCAATTGTGATCGCAAAAAGACTGTCGTAAAGCAGATTTGTCGTAATGCGGGGCAATTGTAAAGCAGGGCACGACTGTATTTCCTTGCTGGTGTGCCCCTAGAATGGGGAGGACTATACAAATATGGTTAAAGAAGAGGTGGGTGGCAAGACCCTGCCCATATTATTTCTAAAATTATCCCCAACCAACTTCCTACCTCTACTGTTCTTCAGAGATGGGGATTCAAGGCTGGGAATCACTGATGTAGAGAGTGACAGAAAGTGGCTGCTGAATTCAGCATTCGTGTTGGGGCAGCATCCTCTATAAGGCTATGGCAGGGACTAGTTTAAGAGGCCCAAGGAAAGCTGTTTGGTGTATATTTCTTCCCATGACACCCTGCTTGGCACTCCTTAGTATCAGCTGCCCTACTCTGCTGAATCGATGCAGTGCTCATTATTCCTTTATTAAGAATTTAAGCAGTTGCTGTACACAGAGCCAGACTATAGATTTATTTCAGCCAATTTCCAGAATTTTGGGAAGGAGTTTTCTAGAAATACCCAAATATGCTGGAGATGGTATGTGGGTTGTTGGTCCCTGAACATTAGTGAGTGGGATTTTCCCTAAGTGTTCACTCCACAGCCCATGGGAAAGGAAAAAAATGGTATTAAAAAGGTAGAGAGAGACCCTGTTGCCGTAATATACTTACTGGGAAAAATTTTAAACAACCGAAGCTCCTGCAATGAAAGTCCAAGAGAGACTCCCTTTCACTCTGAATGTCCTCTTGCCACTGCCTATCTTCACCCAGTGTCCAAATGCAAGCCACCAGACTCAGAGTCTCCATCTTACCTGCCGAGTGTTTTATTGTCAGCTCCTTCGGCTGGGGGGAATGGTCGTGTGTAGGAGAAAGGAAACCAGCCTTTTCTGCAAGGAGGAAGCAAAGAGGAGAGAGATGGGTGGGAAACAACACTTTTAAAACAGGAAGAGAAAAGCCACAGCAACCACTTCCTATTCTCTTCAAGGTCACGCTGAGGTTTAAGAAAAGCTTGTTAAAGACCAGTAGTCTAATGCTTCTTGTGTAAGAAACGTTGGCTCCTGGCTTTGAATCCCTTAGATTCAGTATGTGAGCATACAAAATATCATGCACCAAAGGCAGTTGATTGATCTCTAGTCCAGAATTGCTTCCTGTGGTTCTCCAAGACCACAGACAAATGGATTTGCTGTCACATCTTCTTACCGGAAATCCTTTAACTAGAGATGTGTGTGATTAAACTTCTGGCCTCCTGGATGCAAAAGCAGATTCTCCACTACTGGACTATAGCTCTATAGATCACTGTCCTTAGGGGAAGAGATCACAACAGGGTTCCTGCATCAGAGCCACACCATAGCTGCACTGAAGTAAAGGGCAGCTGTGTGGGCCAAACTCCACACCATAGCTGCATTGAAGTAAGGGCAGCTGTGTGGTCCAAACAAAATTAAATCCAAATGGAAAAATAGGTGATACATTTATAGACCGCTACAAATCATCGCACAATAAACTGAGCTTTCGTGGATTAAACACCACTTCACCAGGACTGTACCAGTGTAAAGAACTTAGTTCAAAACTTAGCTGGATGCACACAGGCAAGGATACATCCCCTCATCTTTCAACAGAACTCCAAAAATGTATATTAGATTATGTTGATGATAATCACCACCACCATCATCATAGAAATGCAGGAAGGGACCCTATGGATCATTGATTCCAGCCCGTCAAGGAGGCACAGCGAGGAATTGAACTCCCAAGCTCTGGTATGCCTAAACCACTGAGCTATTCAGCTTATTATAATAATAAATAATATACATCAATAAATACTGTATTTGCTGGCGTATAAGACTACTTTTTTGCCCTGAAAAAGATGCCTCCAAGTGGGGGGGGTCATCTTATATGCCGGGTGCACTACAGTTGGGATAGACACAGCTGCCCATTGTGGCCTTCCAATGCTTGCCCGGTGCCCATAGTAGCACCCATAGTAGCCTCCTGATGCGCGGTATCCAGTGCGGCTGTGGCGAGCATCAGCAGCGAGACAAGGGTGCCAGCCTCGTCTTATATGCTGGCAAATACGGTAACTCCCTCTCCCAAATTACCTTTTTGGACTACAAATCCCGGAAACCTGAAAAGAGTGTGTCCACTTCTAACCCCACCTCCCAGCTAATTTTGCCAAGAGCGGTCTTCAGGAAACGGAAAGCTAGGTGAGGGTAGCCTAAAGCCAAATGAACAGGGAAAGTCTTGCTTACAGTTTGGTTGTCTCATTTTCCCCATAATGCCAGCCATCCCGTGCTTCGGTCACCAGTAAAAGGATGATGTCTCCCTCTTGGAAGTTGAGCAGGGTGGTGTTCTCCCCTGCTGCATGTGAGAATATTGCCTGCACTCTCCGCCGCTCAGAACGTGGAGGCAGAACCGAGAGGGGACTGATCCGAGGCAGGGTCTTGTTTTCTACTGTGGAGGCAGAAATGGGAGAGGAGAGGGCATTCACTGAAACTGAAAGAAAACATGGGAATCCTTCTAATAGCAGTCATTCTGCTCTTTGAGCATGATTAAGTTTTTTTTTAATGAAAAATCATACTACAGGAAACAGACTTCACAATATGTGGGTAATTTTAGCATGTTGTATAGATCAGATTAAGCTTTTGCTTTTAAAAAACACATCTTGCTTAGGGAAACAGACAATACTCTACAGCACCAAATAACGTGATTCCCAATTATTGAATGACAAATTGTCCTTTGTTTCACCCATATCCTTTTCTTTTCCCTTTTTAAAAAACTGCCTAAAAAGGAATATTGTTTTCCACTTGGATCAAAACAGACTTCGCAATATGTGGGTAATTTTAGCATGTTGTACAGATCAGATTATACTTTTGCTTTTAAAAAACACATCTTGCTTATAGAGCTGCTTCAACTCGGTTCTGTTCAGTATTTAGTGGTGCTGCATTTTTGACATAGCTTCAAGAGCAGAATTTGGTGTGGCAGAATCCATTTTGTGGTCAGATTTTGAAATAACTTGTTTATTGTGTTCCCCAGGAAAACCAAACCCCATAAATTGTAAAACTCTGCTTTGTTTGGCAAACTGAAATGCCTACATACAGTATAAGGTTGTCCCACACTAGCTTTTCTTAAATCCTCCTTTCAAAACATGTTGGGCTTTTCAGAAGAATTTGCTTTACTCAGTTTAGCCAGTTCCAAAATCATCTAATAGCAAACAATCATAATAGTGAAATAGAGGAACTGTGCTCTTTCCCCCCTTCCCCAGAAAAGGAACAGAAGTCAGACATGAACAGAATTTATTATTTTCTGAAATTCCAAAATCTAGATTTTTTTAATGAGGTAGGGACTGAAAGGATGCTAGAGTTCCCAAGGAATTTCAGAAGGGAATGGCCCCATTCTGTTCACCTCCATTAACAGATACCAGGTAAACAAAGACAGCTGGTCCTAGGATGGGCTGCAGATCAAGATCAATGTGGAAGACTCACCCAATGTCGCTAGACGGGTCTCCATGGACATCTTGCGTGGCATTGGCAAGGTACAGGAGTAGCTATCGGGAGTCTTGGTCTGTGGAGGAGTCTCTGTGGTTTGTGTGGGTGACAGACTGGAGGTGATGGCAGTGAGGTCGTTAGCTGGAGGATGGCCCGAATCGCGAGATCCCCGACTACGGTGTGAGTCGCCATTTGGCAGTGGTGTCACTTCCTGGACTGAGGCACGCTATAGGGGATTGATAGGGGTTGCCAGGGATGCAGGAGCAAGAGAGAAAGTAAAGAACAAGTGAGGCTTCACAGAGGTAAACAAAAGCAACAATGATAGTGAAGTGGCAAATAGAGAAGAGTTCGGTGGTTCATATCCTGGCCCACTCAGCCAGACACTCACATGGTTTGCCACTAGCTCTGACAGCTCTTCCAAGGTCTTAGAGCCAGGGAGGGGGTCCGAGATTGGGCTTGGAGCCCCACAAGACAGGTTACTGGCTGTCAGCTTGACCAGGGCTAGAGCTCGCTCAGGTAAGCGGGTGGGTTGGGTGCATGAGGCCTGCCAGATGGGCAACTTGGCAGCCAGCAACTCTCGTACCTGCGGGGAAAGATTTGAGAAGAAAAGTTCTTGTGCTTGTTTTGCTTTCTTTCGGCCAATCAGCTTAAATTTGTATGCATATAAATCTAGTAATACATGTCAATCAGCACCTCTCTCCTAGCTTACGTCTGCAGAAAGTTGTAGCGAGTCCTACTGCTCACCTATAGTTCCTGGATTTTGCCTAGACTTGGCTAATGCACAACTTTGGTGCCTTTTTTATATAAATAGTGTAAACTGGATGAGATAATAGTTACTTGGATAGTATCAGATTTGGATGATAATTTAATCCTTCCCCCCCCCCCACCTTGCTGGTGTATTTTTGAGGAAAATCTGCCTTTCCCAGCTCAGGGAGATCTGCCATTGTTGCCAAGGGGAGGGGGAGAGTTCTCTGAAAAAAGAAATAACTACTTCAGAGGAGGGACTTTTCTTTAAGATTACATCACTGGAGGAAAGAGCTAAATTCATCCTATGATCCTGATGCTATTCCAGGAATGATCAGTGCCTTCTGACTACTTCCTTTTTAACAGGTGCATTAAATACAAATGGTATAATTTAGCACTTTCTTGAAAATATTATTCATCCTATTTTATATCCCTCGTCAAGTTCATATCCCCCACCTTCACTATAACCCTATGAGGTACGCCAAGCCAAGAATGAGTGACTAACCCAACTTCATAGCTGTTTGGAGAGTCTGGCCAAAGGCACTGTCCAGCCCAGCAACTATCCCATCACTGGCAGAGAAAGACAGGTTCCCCAGCCATACCAAATTCTGTGCTTATGTAGCACAGCTGCACAATCACAGGATGTACATGGCTGTCCCTATTTCACTCTCCCTATCAAAGAGAAGGACAATAATCTCACCCCTCCATTAATGACTGTCTGAAAACTGGCAAAGATCAGCTTCTTCAAGAAGGCACTTGCTGTGCATTTTAATTGGTTGCTGTTTTGTTTTTTTGTTTTTTAATATCTACAATGTTTTGTCTGCCATTGCGGTTTTTATCTTCTGCTTTTTGTTTTAATACTGAATGGCTTCTGTTTGAAACTGTAAGGATGTTTGTTTTAATGGTTCTATCTTGACTTTTGCTGTTAATTGCCTCCTGCTCCTTAGGAAGAAAGGAAGGGTATACTGTAAATGTTTCAAAATAAATTAAGAAGAAACTAACTAAAATGAGTCAAATTACTGGTCCATTTAGCCTGGAATTGTTGACTCTGATTGACAGCCTCGGCTTCCCAACGTTTCAAATAGAATTCTTTGTCTCTCATCCAAATATTAACCAGGTCTGACCTTCCTTACGTTATGAAATCTGCCAAAATTTGACATGTTAAGGACAGCTGCTCACCTTAGAGTGATAGTTGCTAAAATGTTTGGAGACAGCACACTGACGATCCACCAGAAAGGAGTACCGGCGCCTCTCCTCTGTCAGGGCTGCCTTGTAACCTTCAGCCACAAACCTATCCAGCTCACTTTGTTTGGTACTCATGACCTCCACGTACTAGGACAAAGAAGGAAAAACATCCAGAACCTTCATGACAAAGGATGGGAACATGTTGTTCTAATTTGAGACCCAACTTCTTTGCAGTCAGGCCTCTATTAGCAACAAGGTACAAAATTCAGTCTCAAAAGCACATCCCCCCCATTTCATACATATATGTACAAAGACTATTCAATAAATAAATCATCAAAGCAGTAAAAAAAAACAACTTAATGGTAAAAATACATAATTTAAAACATACAATGTACCTACACACACAGCAGAAGGCAAGCTATTTCAAACAAAATAAGGAAAAGCAGCATAAAGCCAGAAGCCTGGTTTTATGCTGCTTTTTATCTTTTTAAAGAGGTGTTAGAAAGACATTCATGTGGACATCTGATGAGCCGTTCTTGGGAAGAGAGCCTCACAGCACTATCCTATCCGCAGGGACTGGGACTATGGTGATATTTAAGTACCAACTTCTTTTCCTGACTCACAAACTGAAGCAATCATTGACTTACACACACACACACACACATATATGTGTGTGGCCGCCTAGAGTGGTCGAAATGACTAGATAGGCGGGGGATAAATACAATAAATAAATAAATAAAGAAAGTAGTTTATATATATATAAACTACTTTTTAGCTTTACACACGGTCCCATGCCAATTTCCAGTAACATATTAATGCAACAAAAAAGAACATTCCATGTCAGAAAAAGAGCAACTGGTGTTATCATAACTACAGAATACGAATTCTTAAAAGCCAGGTGGAGCACAAATGCTGTCACTGCTTGCCTAAATAGCAGCAGAGAAGGAGTGTGTCTAATTCTCAAACAACTGCCCAAAAGACTCTGTCCTGCATCCCCCACCAATTACACAATGCCCAAATGGTGAAACACAGAACAAGGCATAGATAGATGACCGCAGATGAAATGGTAATCCTGCCACTTGACGGGTCTCTTCTCTGGGCCCCTCCCACTGATGTATATCACGGACCGAGGAGAGATCATTCTTAATAGTAGCACCCTCAATGTGGAATATTCTTTACTTGCTGTTATGTTTTAAGTGTGATGCTGGAGGAGACTCTTGAGAGTCCCCTGGACTGCGAAGAAAGCAAACAAAACCTATCCATTCTAAAGGAAATGAACCCTGAGTGCTCCCTGAAAGGACAGATCCTGAAGCTGAGGCTCCTATACTTTGGCCATCTCACAAGAAGAGAAGACTCCCTGGAAAAGACCGTGATGTTAGGAAAGTGCGAAGGAAAGAGGAGAAGGGGATGACAGAGGATGAGATGGTTGGACAGTGTCACCAAAGTGACCAACATGAATTTGACCCAACTCCGGGAGGGAGTGGAAGACAGGAGGGCATGGCATGCTCTGGTCCATGGGGTCACGAAGAGTCGGACATGACTAAGCAATAAGAACAAAATGTTTTAAGCACCAAGGGAGAACTTGTTTTGTTTTTTCCAGCCATGGGAAAGAATTTTTAGTTCTGATGCTATGAATTTCGAATGTTTATAATGTATTAATGTTAATTTCGTGTAAGTCACCATGGATAATTCTATGCTAGACTATGATATACAATGACAGACAAACAGATAAATGGACATAGACAAGACAGGGAAATCGAGCCAACAGCCCCCCTGAGAATCCTGATCATTCCATTATATCTCTCCAAATCTCTATATTAGGGATACTCAATGTGGTGGAATGGACAGAATGACTGACTAGGAGGCCTGGGTTCAAATGCTCACTCAGCTATGGAAAATCACTGGGGGAGTGGAACTGGTAAAACCGCTCCTTAAATATCTCACTTACTTTGAAAACCCTGTCAGGTTACTATAAGTTGGTTCCGACTGGAAGGCACATCACATCATTAAAGTTCACAAAGAAAGTTTCTAGACCTGATAGATGTCAACAGAAGACTAAAACTGTACATCTAAGTCTTGTTTGTTTCATAGCTGAGAAATACTATAAGATGGTTCCGACTGGAAGGCACATCACATCATTAAAGTTCACCAAGAAAGTTTCTAGACTTGATAGATGTCAACAGAAGACTAAAACTGTACATCTAAGTCTTGTTTGTTTCATAGCTGAGAAATACATATTGTGGTACTTCCAAGGTTAATCAAATTTAACAGCAGATCCACTAAAATCAATGCACTTAAGGAAGACTAAGTATCAAATGCCCTATCCACAAAGCCACATTGTTTTTCAGACACCAAGCCAAAACATTTTTATATAACTTGTGTATATTTTCAAGAATTCAGGGTTATATGTTTTCTTGTTATCGTAATAGAATAGATTATACACTTTCTGGAATTCTAAATAGATGAAAAGAAATATAATCATGTTTTAGATTATAAATACATTGCTGTCATTTAATCTCTCAAATCTTTGACTACAGACTAAATTAAAACTAAAATCTAGCAATATTAAGGGCCAAAGTAGACACAACACTGTTCACACAGTCTGTAACTACCTGCTTTATAAAAAAAAGAGGAAACAGCAAGCAACAGAAGCTGCAATTCAGATGGGGGCGACAGAACAAGCAACAGTTAAAAAGTCCCCTACTGGGAATCTGCAGAACTCTAAAATGTAGAGGTTGAAAAAGTTACTTTTTTGGAGTATAGCTCTCAGAATCTCTAACTGCCTGGGATATCTTTCTTCTTTCCAAAGGAAAAAATAGTTGCAATTTCTACTAAACCTTGAGATTTTTGGCATAGTCTTCTTCACACATTTTTCAAATTTGCACATCTTATTGATTCCTTTCTCTTCTGTGGAACACATTGCAAAGTTGGAAATGTTCAAATTTTTAATAGTGTCCCTTTCCACAATTTGGACTGGGAGAAAGGAGATAGGCAAATACGGTTTAATCCACACCACCCACCATGAGTTTATCAACTTGTCAGTATTCCTATCCAGATTGCCATCACATGTCTAGAATTTGCTGTTTGCTCTTCTTCAAAAACCACCCAAATGCTAATTATATGAATGGCACCCTGACATGATTGGCTTGGCTTCCCTTGTGACTCTCCAGGACTTGATTTTTCCCTCTCTTTCCCAGTTCCTTCAAACTCTCCTCGTATGTTGAGACAAAATAAAATACCCTGTGTTTTTTAAAATTCTCTTTGGAGATTTCTCAAATATGATTTAGCTCTATGTTATTGCTTGGACATCTACTGGAAACTTGGCAGAATGTATGACTTTACAGAGAAACGGCATTCCCACAAATATCTGTGCTACATCAAAACATAATCACCTTCATACGGATTTAGGAAACTGTTCTGTCCACAAAACTGTTTCAAAATTCCTGGTAAAACCCCTTTTCACTCTCCTGGTAAATGTATTCCAAGAATCCCCTACTGTTTCCTGGATAAGAATCCCCTGTTGTTTCCTGGATAACTTCGATTCTTTTGGACTAATCAGAATGCAGTAACAACCACTACCTAACTCCAGATTTAAGCTCATCAACTTGAATTAGGATCTGTGCTCCACCACCTAAAGACAAGCATTTAAAGAAGGGGCAGAGGAACACACTCAATACTTTCATCCCTCTTCTTGAATCACCTCAGTTATAAGGACAAAAGGATGGGAAAAGTGTGCTGGAGCAACTAATCTGTGTTAAGTGACAAAGAACATGTTCTCTTTTATATCTACATCAAACCAGAATATGGAAGAGGGGGTGAGACAGCCTCGTAAGCTCCAGGAGGTGAAGGGTTACCTTTGTACCCCCTTCTTTCTTACTGGCCCCCTCCTTGCGGCCTCTAGCCTGAGCAGGCCTTGATCCTGAAGTAATGGTTGCCGCGGCAACAAGGTTGACAAAGGGGGCCTTCTGAGAGACAGCCAAATGCCTTCTCGCTGGGACTCACCAGGATGGGGGTAGGAGCCGGATGGTAAATAGGGGAGAAAAGGCTTCAGACCAACGTACGTCAGAGAGCGAACCAGGTAGGAGGGATGTTTTAAGCAATGCACATGTACGTTCCCTGTTTGCAGTGGGTTTGTGGGTGCGTGCTTCTGCTCCACCATATTACTTTGGGATGCAAGTGAGTTGTCCACTCATTTGTACAGTGCTTGAAAAAGGCAAAATGTCATGCAAGATTGCATGCTTAAGTTGTGTGTACCACTTTTTCCGTTTCTTTCAGCTAGTCTGTGTGTGCGACCAGGCGTGAAAAGACAGGGGTGTAAAAAATGAACTGTGCACATATACATGTACTGCAGAGGAGGTCTACACAGAGTATGTACGAGTCCTTGATGCAGGTGGATGCCTCTGCAAAAAAAGTGCATGCATTTCTTCATGTGTGCGTTCACAGGTAGATGTTTAATGAAGTCTGTACATGGATCAGGGGGATGGGCTGTGCATGCGTTTCCCACTGCGTTATTGTAGGTAGCCCCTCGGCAGAGATTACTCCTCCAGGCACCAAATGGCCAAAGAATGTTAAACCCTTTAAAGACATAAACTTCTTAGTGACCCCAATCCAAGCACCCAGACGCCACCCGTACAGAACAAGCAGCAGCACCAGACTCGCACGGGAGTGAGGAAGGAACATGGGACGCGAAGTGAGCTCTACAAGTGCCACTGTTCTCATCAGAAAATAAACACTGATTATTTTGCATAGTGTGAGACACTGGCTTCTTGCAGATGGACACAAGAGAAATGACTTGGATTTTTTCCATCAGATGCATGGGCTAGCAAGTTCCACCAAAAACGTGAAAAATCTTTACTTCCAAACATATTTTCCAATACAATTGCTGTACTCAGAATTGAAAGCTTATAAATGTACCTTTTTTCTTTTTGGATGATGAGTGCTAGATGTGGGGAAAGTTATGATGATGTCACTTGGAGTAGGTATTATTAAACATTAAAGAAAAAGGGGTAGAACAACACCAGGACAGTGATTTAGAAGATGGCTGCCCCATGCTGCCTGTAAGCATTTATCTGTGTTCATACCATCATACCACAAATAAATATTGATACAGATCAAGTCAGATCATTGGTCCAATTAGTTAACTATTTCCTATAATGACTAGAATCCTATTGGTTTATGCACTAGCATAAAAACAATTGCAAAACCCTTTCTCACCCTCTGGCAGGCTCTCCACCCTGCAAGCAGACAAGCATGGCCTGGGATATTGGTTATGCTACCCACTGCATGACTGAATGTGCAAAGGAAACATGGCCCCAAGTTGCCCACCCCGATCTACTACAACTAAAGAATATTAAGGAAGAGTCACAAAGCTCAGTGCTATGGCATGTATATAGTTATAGATTTAGTCCCAGGCAGGCTGGATATCAATGTTCAGAGGAAAAGAACTTTAGCTTGAAGAACCATCTTTAAACAGAGTAGATTGTACTATGATAGATAAATCATTTGTCAAACTCAGCTTTGACTGTCATCGTTGCATCTTACAAATAAGCTCTCTAGATTTGTGGAGAAAGTCTGGTTGTTCCATCTCCTCTTGAGATAGCCTGGAATCCTGGAATTCCACAAGTTAAGCTTTCTGGCAGGATGTGACCCTACTCCCTGAGGAAATGTGTAATGTTCCTATTGTTTTCTTAAACACTTCCCCACATGGCTAACATCCTCACTTTCCTCCCCCTTCACAAGCAAACCTACCTGCACCTCACGATCCCCGTATTTCTGTGGGTTTTTGCTGTTCTGGCATTTCTTGCGTAGCTTCTTCAGCTCTGCTTGACACTTTTCAATCGACTCTGCTTTGGCTCTGTGTTCGGCTTGGTATTTTTTCAAAGTGGCCTAAATGAGTGGAGTAGAATTAAGGAAAGCACAAGATAGTATGGCCCAGTCAGCTCTGATACAACAGGATCCTCTGGGATTCCTTTTGCTCTCTTCCTACGTAAAAACACTTTCTGAATTGCTGTTGAGCTTTTGGTTCCTTCTGAATGAATAAGCAGATGGACAGATATATGGAGGCATGACAGAATGTCAGAAAAATACATCAGCTCAACCTGATCTCAAATCAGTATGGTAAACAATTAATAGATAGTTGGATTCCCTGAACAATATGGTCGGCCTCTCAAATACTTGCTGAACCAAACAGAAGTCTTGGCCTTAATGAGAACAAAACTGAGACTGGACTTTATTTTTAAGGCCCATTCCAAGTGCTCAACTATCTGTCTTTACTTTCCTAGAGAATTCATGGCCCTCCTTCTTTTCTATTCACTATCAAGACTTCCTTTCTCCCTTGCCCTTGGCAAGGAAAAAAAATGGCCAGAGCACTGGGGAGATTGGTCTTTATGAAACTGTAGGCCTCTGTCTCTTCAGCTTCCTTACACCTTCTGATCATCATTCAATTTCATCTTCCCTTGGGGAACTGTTGTGAGGGGGAAAGCAAAATATATATCACAATCCACCCTCTGCTAAGGCAAATTTCTCAGTCCAGTCATGTCCCTCGTTGCTATATTATGTCATTCCTACTCTCTATTGTGGGTAAATTTTGTATCTCCCCAAATAGCCATCTAAAAGGAGTAGAAACAGAGATAGAGATGGATCCAGTGTTTAATTTTTAAGTAAAATGTGCTGGGAAATACATCTTCCGTGAAATCATGCTATTTGCCTTGGAAATTCTAAGAATTATGGCAACAGGCTAAATGATTCCCTGAGTGCTAAGTGAAAATCACTCTCTGCACACACAGAGGCACTTCACTTCCTTATTGCTTCAATATTACAGGGCATGGGTATCATCCTGGACTGGGACCTGCCTAAACTTCAAGTACAACACTGCAGAATAAGAATGAGGCAAAAGTGAAAGATGGATGGCAGGCCATCCACAGCAACAGGCAGATACACTTCAAAGGTCAGAAGGTTCAAATTATTTTTTCTCTCACCATCAGATACTTGATATCGAGTTCCAGTTTGTGTTCCAGCTGGGACAACAACTCCGAGTGGAAAAGCTTCAGCTGAAAGATGGTGACAAAGAAGCAGGAAGGGAGAGTGAGAATTAGGCAGATGAAGTCAGTGCCAGCCATTTCCTCCCATAGCTTGGCAATTCAAGAATGGTTGTGGGATGTGACAAGATATTAGGATATGCGGGCCTGCAGGTCTCATCTAGGACCACAAAGAGGACGGGGTAGGGAAACAATAGAGGTCTGAAAAGTCCCTTCATCTAATCCAAGCAGCCTGAGAACAAGCTCCATGAATGAGGGTGCAACTAAATGGGGCAATTTGGAGTGATCCGACTTGTGTTTAAAAGGCTCTTGCCTTCAGTGCAATCTATTTTATCTCACACTTGAGTGATCCTTCCATTCACACAGGAGGCATTTCTTCTCCCATGACAGCACTTCAGATCACTCCCATTTCTCCTTTTTTCAATTCCTGACACCCCTTCCCCTGCCTTTTGTCACAGTTATCATTCCATAAGCCACAGGGCCTTATCTTTTTTTGTGGGGGAGAGGGTTAATTTAGTAAGTGGCATAGCGTTACAACAATACATCAACCTAGCATGGCTATTCCCTTATATCTGAAATAGTGCTGCTTCATTTAGAAAAATAGTTTTTAAAAACTGAGAAGGAGAAAAATAAAGGGTTTCTCCACCATCCTTTCTATTGTCACAACAACCAAGACATACATTACAGGGTTGTCACTGAAGAAATGGCACCTTATTCTATATCGGAGCAAATTAAGCAAACACACAGACTGCCTAATGAGATAATCAGGAGCATTGCAGCCCTAGCATTGTGCCAGAAAGGAGCAGGCCACTTCACAAAAAGGGAGGGGTGGATCATTCTTACTTAAACACATGTGGTCACTGAAAATAGAACGAACCAAACTGCACCAACAGCTAAGCAAATAGAGACTTATATGCTCGCCCGATCACCCCCTCAGTCACTTGGTGATGCTCACCGTCTCTTCCAGTTGTACCTGGATCTGCCGGTGAACCTCTGCCATTTGGAATAATGTGTCACCTGTGGGCCAAAGTGATTGAAGGGTTAATACACTTCAGGCATTCCACGATCTGTGAAAAGGTCTTTTGTCCCCTTTGACTTTGTCTGTCCCAGGATAATCTCCTTTCTGGCTAATTCCTCTCCCCTTGCCTCAGGAGGACTCTGAGAAATCATAAACAACTTTCAAACAGAAACAACAACATGGTGCCACAGAGATATGGAAGAAGGCCTTCTGCTTTCATCTGCCTTGAACATATAATACAGTTAACACACTTTGCCTATTTCACACAGCAATTACATTTGTGTGACATCCACAGATCATACCTAGATTCACTCCTACTTATCTTTTAACTAGAATGAATCTTGATAAGAACAGCCCCCCATACAGTTTAGCACAGCAGAAGTCCACACACCTATATTACCTTAAAGCAGGATTATGGAACCTTTGGCCTTCCAGATATTTTGGGCTATAATTCCCATAATCTCTTAACCTTGGCCAGGTGACCAAGGCTACTGGGAACTGAAGTCCAAAATATTTGGCAGGCCGAAGATTTCCACTCTTGCATCTCTTTAAGAGATTTGCAAATATTTGTTTAGAAAATCTTTCTCCTGTCTCTGGGTTACAAGAACCTCCTGGACAGATTACAACATAGTTAAATGTACACAGTTGTATCACAATGAAATACAAAAGAACTGAGAGATGGAAAAAATGACAAATGCTTAAAAAAATTGTGACAGTTGGCAAAGAAAAGTTAAAATGGTTCACATATTTGCTAATATAGACCATTTGTCTGAAGTAGAAGTTGTTTTTGATCTCTAGAACTCCCAGAATCCTATACTAGCAAGGGATTCAGGGATTTGTAGCCTCCCCGCAAATAACTTTTAAAAGATCTGTGTCCGAAGGCTGAAAGAGAAACAGTACCAACAGAGCTTTCCAAAGTAGGCTATTCCACAACCTTGCCACTATTTTTAAGAATGGTCAAACTCATGGGAAAAGACAATTTTTCAACTAACATGGCACCAAACCATTCGGATAACCAAAACTCTTTGAATGATACTTCAAAATGATTTTTTAAATGTTCCTTAAAAGTTTAGGCAGCAAGCTAACAACTGGAGGGTGAACCAATAAAAGGAGGGGTGGTCAACTATATATCTGGGGAAAGTGGCTTTCCTTGATGAGTGTTCTCCACTGGTGACAACTTGGCCCAGAACGAAACAGGCAGGGATACTAATTTTCTCTTTCTTTCCGGCACCCAAAATTTCTCTCACATTCACATTTTCTTTCTCTGACACTCCTTCTCTTTCTCACATCCTTCATCTTCAGCACCCCTCCTCCCTGTTACCCCTTCCTCTTTTTCTCTCTTTCTCTTTTTGACACCCCTCCTTGTCTCTCTCCCCTCCTTACACCCAGGGCCACCAAGAGGGGGACAGATTGCTTTTGCCAGTTGTCTGCATTGCCATTTTGAAGAAGCTTCAGGATTAAGTTGAGGGCTACTCGCTGTCAACTCATAGACTAAAGATTGGCACCTAGCCTACACTCATGTAATGATATGTTTCCTTTGGAGTCCACTTTGGTTGTGGTGTTGAAATATGTACTAATCCCCCCCCCAAAGTATTAGAAATGGCTTTCTTTTTCAAAATAAGCAGAATTTTTAATTTAAGAAATACTAAGGTAGGCCATAGTTTCTTCAACCAGTCAATATCAATTTAAATTCTTCAATCCTTTGATTCCTCATTATAATAAAGCAGAGCTTGTTTCAAATGTTAACTTTTTCAAACCAACATTCCACCAGGCGAGTGGAAGAAATCCGAGTGTTGTAATTTTCAAAAAGCATCTTATCTAAGCTCTTAAACAGAGACTTGTTCTTCTTGCTAAAAAATCTGAAACCTACATATACTTATGGTTAAGACAGGGCTGGTTTATATGGTCAGTACAATCAAGTGATAAAGCCCCAAGCTCTTTGACTGTATCAACTTAGGTGTGTGCAGGGTGGGGAAAAGAGTCATAAATACTTACTCATTAGAAACAAAAATCCCTGTGTGTACTGAAATAGAATGCCACCGGGAACATGCTGTATTTCTTTCTGGCTTACTTTGCACCCCCTTGCATGCAAGGAGAAATTTATTTTCCTATATGAAAGGATTCAAACATGCTAACCTCCCCCATGGCTTCAGGTGACGAAGGAAAGGGTAAAGTTGAAGAAAAATATTACCGTTTAATTCTGCTGATTGTATAAACTGTGAAAGAGAGGGAGGGAAGGGGAGTACTGTGTCATGCGGATATTATGGTGCAAATAATATCCACATGATTGACCAATTCTATGTGCTTCCAACCAGATCTTGTGCCCAAGGCACTCTGCTGTGCTTTGTGGTATAGTTGTGGTTGCATGGATTCTAGATTCTCTTTACTACCTCTTACAACACAGCGCACAAAGTCACACATGGGTTCCCTCAAACACACATTTGCATGCAAACATTTTCGGAAGTAGAGGTGGGAAATATGTGGCCTTCTAGATGCTGTTGGATTGCAAGCCACAGGTAACATAGCCAGTGGTAAAAGGGTGATGGGAGTTGTAATTCAACAACCTCTGAAGGGCAAAAAGTCACCTAAAGGGAGTTCAGTGGAAAGAAATCAGGTCCTTCATTTTTTGAGAAGGCAACAGATTAAATCAAGACACCTACCCAGTTCCTTGGATCCTTGGCTGTCACTGGCCAACTCACCGAGTTTCACCAAGGCATCAAAGTAGCCCTTAGCGGCCACTGTAACTCCTGCAAAAGTGGGCAGGGAGGAGGAACAGGAACAGCATTGAACAATTAACCCAAGAAATATTGTGAGACCCTTCTCCTTTAAGAAACCCCACCTCTGCCATGGACTGAGGTCAAAGGCTGGACTGAAGTACGTATTCCATTACCTGAGAGTGCTTTTTGATAGTTCTTTCCCATAGTAACAAAATTCCTTAGACTGGGATTAAATTGTTCGAGAATTGCCTGGTTACGAAGGAGAAGAAAAAGAATCAAGTGATGTAAATTTTTCACAGATGATCTTGCCAATGTTAATTACTTAAACATCCCATCTAGATAGTCTGAAGTGTACGATTCACTTCCCCACTGAAATCAACTGGAATTAAAGTGACATAACTTCTGGCTGGATCATACCCCTACTCATGTCATAATTCCTTCTACATTATAGGGAGATGGATTTTTTTAAAAAAGAAATTACACACAGAGAAAGACAAAGAGAGATGGGTTTGAGATGTAAATAGATAAATTAAAGTTGTCTTGGATTATACCCCCTAGAACATCCCAGCCAGTATGAGAGTTGTACTCCAAAAAATGTCATCTGTGCAGTTTTCCCATCTCTGATAAATCCATAAACAAGAGGAAGAAGGTATGGGGAGGGGGGATGAATATCTGGCAGGAGCAGAAATTTATAGACACAGTAGAAATATATAGGCTGGCTTGCAAAGGAATGCAAGGCTATATCTTCAGATGAAAGACACAAATAAATAGGAACGATGGGAGTAGATAGAGAAAGGATAAACAATTTATTTGCTTTATTTTTAGTCATGATCCTTCAAGAAACTCTGGGCAAGAATATTTAGTTCCTCCATGTTTTCTCACAAAAGTCTCTGACCTAGATTAAACTGACAGACAGGGACTGGTTGAACGCCAGTTTTCATGGTAAGTAGGAATTTGAACACACAGCCATCCCTAGTCCCAGCCTGTTTCTGTTAACAGAAACAGCTAAAGCATCCTGGATGTCAAAGAACATTTAAATAGACTGAGGCTGACATCATGTTGCTTGCTGTAGCAAATCACACTAGAGTAGGCCTTTTGAACTAATGGAGATTTGGTGAGTCAATTTCTCTGAAATTTGAATCCAATGATTAAAATAGGACTACTTTAGTCATGACTTACTACATCAAAGTAAGTCATAACTAGAGTTGCAGCCAGAATAGGACCTCTTTAATGACTGGGACTTACAAAGGAGTTGACGTGCCTAATTCTCAGTGATTCAGTGGGCCAGTTCTAGTGTGATTTACTTTGCTAGGCAACAGCTTTTCAGCCTGAGAGTATTCAGTATTTTCATTTCAGTTTTTTTCCTTACTTCACATAGACAACTTTGGTTGCCCCTAAAACAACCCTAAAACAAATTACATTGACATTGCATACATATGGGAGGAGGGAGGGGGTTCCTATCTGGAGAAAAAGGAAGAAACCGTATAGTAATAGAGGTGCAAAGACATAAGTGTAGAACCTGTTTGCACATTACAAGCCCTGATGCAATTTGTTAAAATCTAGCTTATAAAGTACAAACATGGTCTACATTTGTGCTACCACACCTCCAATTACTATATTGCTTTTTTTCTGTTTCTCCAAATAAGATTCTAACAAAGGGAGCCAAGCCAGACAGAGCTGTTCCAGTTCCACCAGATACTCTTCTCATCTGGGCTGGGGAAATTCAAGCAAACATCTTGGCCCAGTAGCCAACTTAAGCAAGCCTGAGGCCAAGAAAAGTGACCCCTTGACGTCAGCCCTGTGGTATAGTCCTGAGGTGGTATATCATAAGACGGTACCATTTGAAACTGAACTACTGTGTGTGCCATTTTAAATGCTCCTCGGGTAACACGCTCCCTGCACAGAAACATCTAGCACCGTCAGAAGAAAGGCTATAAACGCTTCTCATTATGCAAGCTTTTTTACTTTCAGAAGGTTGTGTGCGTTTAATTAGTACAGTATGTGTGTTTAATTAGTACAGTGGCATCCTTCTCCTAAAGTCTGAAACTGTACAGCCCCCTCTAACCCTTCATCTCGGAGTGCTTACCACATGGTTCCTTCTCATTTTGAGGCATGTGGAATTCCAGGCAATAATTTCTCTCTCTCTCTCTCTCTCAACACACACTCCTTTCACAGGAAGTGTTGCTTTTAATGCTTTTCTGCAAGACTCCAGCAGTTTTAGCATTTTTTGTTCATTTGCATTTTTCCATTTCAACACTCACATCCACTAAAATACAGAAAACGTCAACAGGAACTTTAGCAATATCTGTGGAAATGCCTCAAAGTGGGTCCAAAAGGCAGCAACCAGATTGCTAAGAGGGGCTGGCCACAGGGATCACAAAATAATACCCCTATTATAGCAGCCCCACTGGCTGCTGATCTGTTTACAAGTTGAATTCAAAGTGCTGGTTCTAACTTATAAAGCCCTGAATGGCTTGGGCCCAAGTTATCTCAAGGGCCACATCTCGCTTTATGAGCCTGCTCGTGTGTAAAGATCATCTGGAGACACCTTTCTCTCAGTCCTGCCACCTTCACAGGTGCACTTGGTGGATAAATCTGTGTTATTGATCCCAGACTTTGGAACTCCCTCCCACAAGAGGCTAGACTGACCTTTCTCTTCAGGCATGCTTTCCTTGCTTGGCTAGCTGCCTGGGTGAGGGGTTTAAATGGATTGGTGTACCTTGCTACTTTGAATGTGTTTTGGTGTTGCTTATATTTTTTAGTATGTTATTTGTTTAATACTTTCTGTGTGTGTATACTCACTGTTGATAGCTTTAAATACTATTTTTTTAATGATGTTAAGCTGGCTTGGGTACTTTTTAAGGAGAAAGGCATAGTTAAAAATATTTTAAATAATTAAAAGCACAATACAGGGGAGTTAAAGTAGACTAGGGGACACCTAGGTTCAAACCACTACTGAGCCTTGAAGCTTACTGGGCCCAAAAACAGGTCCCTGTGAACCTTTTACATCAGTCTGAACTTCCTGTGGAAATGTGGGATAAAACGTAGCTATTATCATCAACAACAATAATGATAATAATAATAATAGCAATAATAGTAATCGCTTTTTTAAAAAAAGTACTGATGAATCTAAAACTTATGTCTCAGTGTGTTCCCAATTTCCACAGGCAAACCTACACCCAAGTATTCCCGATTCCCAATCACAACAAGATGATGGCCCTTTTTTGGCGTCTGCTTTAACAGCTGTCATATGTGGCTCTGGCGGGCTACCACAGTGAAGCGCACAGGAACCCTGCCTGATGTGCGTGTTTCCTCTCCGGATAAGAACAGAAGATCCTATCCAGTTGGAGTCAAGATATTTATTAAGGAATGGGTTCCAAGTCTTTCAGGAAAGAAAGGGTTAAGTTTCCCTCTTCCTCCGCTGGCCAAGTAAGTGGAGGGCAAAGTTTGGCAAAGAATTTGCTACATTTCCATAAGGAAAAAAGAAAACACCACAGAGAGACAAACCAAAAGCTTCTCTAACCAGAAAAGTGGGTAATCCTAGATTTCACTGAAAGCCAGGATTGGAACCAAACTCTGGCCTCATGCAGAGTTTCCAAAGCATCTCCTAAGAAAGGAACAGAAGCAACATTTCTCCAATTTTTTTAGCTACACACCCAAATCCACAGCTGAGTATCTAGTAAATAAAGCAGAAATTTGACTTCTAGAAGCATAGTTCTGTTAACCTGTAATTCACTGCACCAAATCCAACAAAGAACCTTGTGTTACCTTGAAGACTCAGCACGTTTAATTTGGCATGAATTTTCATGGACTAAGGCCGACTTCTTCAGATGGAAGAAGTGGATTCCAGAAAGACCAATTCCAACCACCCCCTAATTTTTTTTTTAAAAAAAACGCCCACCACCTCATGAAAATCCTACAGAATGATTCAAAAGGAAAAAAAGGAGTTTGTTTAAACCCATTAAACGTCTATGTTTTCATGAGCATTTTTGTGTGCACATGCCAACTTTCAATGAGAGAGAGTCGAAACTGACTTTCGGTCCTGGGAATAATTAATTTTTCTAAATTGCTTTCCAGGATCTGTGCATTTCTAGCCATCCCAAAAGTGGGTGTGTGGCTGGCAGGGGTGGGGGGAGAGAGAGAGAGAAGGAGAAGGCTGGCTTGTCTGAACACTGTCCTGCCACCATTCATCATCTCCACCACCGACCCCAGGCTCCCTCCTCCCTCCTCCTTTCCGCCAGGCTCTGTTTTCCTTCCCAAAAGATGTTTTGGAAGGGAACAAAAGGCTGGGAAGCACGGGAGGAAAGCCCAAGAGGCAGCGATGGGAGGTGATGTGATGATGGGACGAAGCGGGTCGGGGAGGCGGCTATGGCAGGATTTTTAGGGCTGGGACGGAAAAAGAGGGGATCGGGAGCAGAAACCGGGGGGGGGGGGGGGGGAGGAAGAGACGACAAAAGTTGGGGGGAAAGCTAGCCGGGAGGAAAGAAAATCAAGAAACCGAGGAGGAGGGAAGGGGGAAAAAATAATCAGGAGAAGAAAAGACGAGGAGAAGCCCAAGAGGGAGGGGGTGGAAAACTAGAAGGTGGAATAAACAAGAGAAAGGAAAGACGGAGGGGGGGCATCGAGGAAAGGGATGGGAGGGGAAAAAATAAGGGAAAAGGAGGGATGGAGAAATGGAAGGAAAGCTGGAAAAAGCCAAGCTCACCCGGTAAACGTTCTCCGTGAGCCGGTTCACCTCCTCCGAGCGGGACATGATGCCGGGGGAGTGAGCGCCAAGGGGCCTGGACGGGGCGTGTTAGGAAGGGGGGGGGAATTAGGGGGGGGAGGGAGGAACAGACGGGCGGTCGTGGGGTTGGGAAGAGGGGAGAATGAGCGAGATCGGCCAGGAGGAAAAAGGCTGGGAAAGGCCAAGGCAGCGTCAGACTCCAGCTGGCTCCTCAGCCGGCCGGGACCACACGCACACACATACAGAGGTATCTGCCCCGCCGCAGTGAGATGAGGAAACGCACGATCAGGCTCTCGCCAAATCCCTCACCGAGGCCCTCTTTGCTGCACTGTAAAATATGCGTCGTTTATCAAAGTTCCTTAAGCTATGTAACAATAAAAATAAAATAATCCTTTTAAAAAAAACAACCACCACCACCAAGGGCCAGAATCGTGTTACGAATTACCCCACGCATTACCGGCACTGTCGCAGAAGCGGTTTTCCCGTTTTTTGCTGGACGTCTGCAATGCAGCGCACAATCAGTCGAACAACCCGGGCATGTCTGAACGCACAACCCGCTGCTGTCAACCCAGCGCTCGCGAATTTCCAGTTTACTGTACAGTATTTGGTATCATAACAACAGGTATCTGGACAACAGCAGGATCAAAACAAAACTGTGGGGAAGCAAACAAGCTCCTTCTAGTGCCAGGATCCTGAATTCCAGTTCACTTTTTCAGACGTAAGTGTTCTTTAAAAAGAGAACAACGTTTTAAAAGGCAGCTCTTGAAAACATTCACATTCTCTAAAAACAGATGTTCATCCATCAAACTGGAGAAGCCTTCCCCTCAGTTATCTCCTTAGAATCTGCCCTCCGTTCGAAGTCCAGGAGAGAAATCAAATGCAAGGTATTTTCTCAGCAACGTATTTTCCAAATTCATTACAGTATTTGTGCAGATACTATTACAACCATGCATATACAGTAATGCCAGAAATAGTGTGTCTCCAGTTTTGGCGGGGGGGGGGAGGAATCTGGTATCTAGAATCAGAAATTTAAACATTCAGACCTACACAGATATTTAGGGGAGTCTTTGTAATGAATGCCAATAGTCAAAATTTTGCCTGTGGAACACAAATGTGTATGTTTTCAGTTCTTAAAAAAAATCAGCACTTGTCAGTTTGGAAAGTTGTTGCATTTAATGCATTTAATGATAAAGATTGATTGATTGACTGCACTTATATGCATTTTTTAAAAAGCCAAGATTGATTGATTGACTGCACTTATATGCTGCCTTTCTGTTAGGTGGTGGGACTTGAGACAGCTCTGTAAAGATATGGAGTTTATCACATTGATGACTTGGACCATTATTGTCTTAACTTTTCTTAGCACAAGTTACGTTGTAAGTCAACATTTATCTTGAAAGTTACAAAAGCAAAATTCAATAAATTATTGAAATTCACATATGATGAGGGAAGTAAAACTGAATCTTTGTATGGTGAAAAGGTCAAAAAGTTCATTTTCATTCAGTTTAACATGATCAGACAAAGCGGAACTTACAGACCTAAATTGCGAGTGAATTGTCAATGTGCTTAAATGTGTAGGCAAAATAGAATTCTATAACATAACTAGGAAAAATAAGGTTTTCTTTCAGTTCCCCAAAGGTAACATTTTAAAGCTTTTTTTATACATGAGGAAAATGTTCTCTAGGTTTTATTCAATTGCTCACATGGGCTGCAGTCCATACCATATTTGAAGACTGCTCTTTCTTGCTTTTTTTGTTTGTTTGTTTGTTCTCACACACAAATAACGATCAATGGTTTGGGACCAGGTTATCTGCAGCACTGGGGCCAACCCAGGACATTTTGCTCCATGGATCAAGATGGTACCCTCAGCCCTGCCACGTAGAAAATCTGACCAGATTGCTAGTTAAACTATGGGAATTAAACAACATCTTCTGCCTTACCTTGAAGGTCAAAGCCTTATTTAGGGGCTGTGGGGTATCCTGCATCTTCCAGTACATCATCCCTGCTGCCCAACCTCTGCTGCCTCATTTTGCCCGATGGTAGGGCTGGCCTTGTGAAGGCCCTGGACTTGGCTGTCTAAAGGACCATTTAGTCCTACAGAAGTCTAAGCACTAAAACCAGCACTTTAAGCCCTGCTCTCTGCTCAGTCTGTAAAAGCTCTAAGACTGACAAATCCAACCTTCTGTTCCAGCCTCACGTCTTTTTTATCCCCACTTCTTATTTCCTCTCGTAAGAATGTGCTGCCTTTTAGGAGGATCTGAAAGATCTTTTAAAGGTTTTAGTTATGACCTCTGATCAAATGAGCAGCTTTTATTTCCACAGCTACATAGATCCACCTTTTTTAAAAATGGGAGATCAACCATGAGCCTTTGGTGTAATGTGCAGCTTGACTCCAAGAGGAAGCTGGGAATTCCCCATGTCAGATTTTGCCTGAACCATTAATTTGGCTCTCGGGTGTAGATAAGCCACTATCTCCTGTCCTCTGCTCTTGCTGGCAAGGTAGAGATAATGATACAACAGAGCTGTTTGCTATAAGGAATACGGAGACACTTCAAATACGTTAGAATAAATCAAAACTGGCAGCAGGTTTGGCATCAATGGACATGGGCTAACACCCCACCCTGCTAGTCATTACCCTAAGAGTACTCCCTGGCTTTCTGCTCCATTCTGTTTGCTATCCAAATAGAGCAGGAAAAAGGAACATCTGTTCCCACTTGCTTTTCTATCTCCCCAGGACAATACTGTTGTGGTTTTGGCCCCCCAAAATACCAGGAATAGTCACTGGTGATTGAGGTAAGGGTGTAGATTGGGGGCAAAGCAGTAAGGCTAACTTGACCAAGCCACCATCCAGCTGGAAATAGCCAGCAGCAATATAAATATTGATGTTACTAGAGATCACTGTCCAACCTTCCAAACCAAGGAAAATTGGCCTTTTCACCTTGAAAATCCTTGAATCTGGTTGCGGTGGGTGGGGAATGCTTAGATATGTAGTCCCACAAAAATAACATTTCCCCCTTCCCATTTGATGTTCAATAAGAGCTGATAGACCAGCATGTCACTGGTGTCCAGTTGTTCTATAGTTTAAACTAACTTTTTGAATCTGCATGGTAAAGGTAAGATTCGAACCCATTTCTTGATCACCTGCCAATAGAGGCCCATGTGGTGGGTTGTTGATTAGATTAGATTAATAGGCAGAGAGAGAGATTCCACAAATGGTTTGTAACTACAGTTGATCAAGAAGTTGGGCATAAGCAACACTGGTGTTGCTTGGCAGGAGGTTTGGGTTGCTATTGTTGCTTTTGAGGGCTGGCATAATTCCCAGCTATACAATGCCAGTTCTGGGCAACTTGTTTTTTCCCATGGGACTCAGTCCAGGCCCCCTGGGGTGAAAGCCCAGATCCTGAGACATTTCTCTACCAGCCCTTCAAACCTACTGCAGTGTGCCTTTAAAATTTAGATCAGCCCACATTGGTTTCAGGCTGCCCCCTGCTGGCTATCATAGATACTTGCAAAGTTAAGAGCTGAAAAATAATAGAAGTCTGGACACTTGGGTGAGGAATATCAAAGCAGGTCCCAGCAGGCTGAGCCTTGGGACATGCTTATAACACCTCACTTCTAAGACCAAGAGTCACTGTCTGGGACTCTGCCCACACAGTGCTACTATCCCGCTTTGCCAACAGCTGCAATACTGTCCTCTAGACTGTATCTGTTTCAAAGCTTGGAACAAATAATTATTTTCAGCCTTAACTCGCCAAATCTCAGAGGCTGTGCCTTGCTGAAGCTTTTTCGAGTTATAGTCCTAAAAAGAACTTTTTCAAACTCAAATGTATTTACTCTGCAATAGCCCATTTAAAAGAAAAGAGACAGTGTCCATTCTGTTGACAGAACACAAATGTCTGACTTTATTTTTCTTACATCTTGCTCTTTCTTCTAACTGGAGCCTAAGGTGGCTCACAACAGAACACGGAATCATATATGAACTGATCATCACACCCTCTGTCGCAGTCCAAGATGTCCCAAGCAGCCTCTCATAAGGGGCAAGGGTACCAGGACCCAGTGCACCACACAGAGTAACAAGTCCAAAAGCACTCACTGTGCGGGTGGTCATCATGACCAAGCAGAGGCAGGAGGCCAGCAGAAATAAGCAGGAAGCAAAGCAGGGCAAGAACAGGAACACATGAGTCCAGACACAGAAGGCAAGAGCAGGAAGCAGAACAGAAACATTGGGATTCTGGAACAGCAAGGGATTGCACAGCCAAAGACCTTTGTTGCTGAAATAAGTTCTGGAAGGGAGAAAGGTAAAGGTAAAGGTTCCCCTTGACAATTTGTCCAGTCGTGTTCAACTCTAGGGGGTGGTGCTCATCCCCGTTTCCAAGCCATAGAGCCAGCGTTTGTCCGAGCAGTCCAAGATGTCCCAAGCAGCCTCTCATAAGGGGCAAGGGTACCAGGACCCAGTGCACCACACAGAGTAACAAGTCCAAAAGCACTCACTGTGCGGGTGGTCATCATGACCAAGCAGAGGCAGGAGGCCAGCAGAAATAAGCAGGAAGCAAAGCAGGGCAAGAACAGGAACACATGAGTCCAGACACAGAAGGCAAGAGCAGGAAGCAGAACAGAAACATTGGGATTCTGGAACAGCAAGGGATTGCACAGCCAAAGACCTTTGTTGCTGAAACAAGTTCTGGAAGGGAGAACCACTCCTTAAATAAGCCTTCCCTCCAGGTTTCCAGGTGAGCTCATGAGCAGCCCAGCAGCTGCTACACAGGTCAGGGTCTGAGTCTGCAAACACCAGGCCACTCCTGGCTCAGGTTGGCCCCAATCCTGCAGCTGCCAGGGCAGTGTGGGCCAGATTCTGACACCATCATTCTTTCATGACCAAATTCATGTTTTCCATAGTTCAAAGTTGCAGCCGGATTGCAATTCCAGGAGGATTAAGATACAACACAATTTCTTGCAGGCTTAATGAATGATGGACGGCCCTTCACAACAGCAAAGATTTGTAAAAATACTTTTTTTGGACTGCAACTCCCAGAATGGCAATGGCCATGCTGACTATGGGATTTTAACTCTTATGTCTGTTTGGCTGCTCCTTCCTAGCCATGAAACTATACCATCAGTACATACTATGCACTGATTACCCCGTTTTCCTCTCGTTTTCCCATAAATAAGACTTAACCTGGAAATAAGCCCCAGTTAAGCGAAACCCCAACCTCCACCATTATGCAGCAACCAGAAGAAGATTATATGACTGCATTTGAATAAATGTAGATTGTTGTACATAAAAAAATCCCCTGAAAATAAGCCCTAATGCATTTTTGGAGCAAAAATTAATATAAGACCCTGGCTTATTTTCTGGGAAACACGGTATACTATGCACTGATTAAGAAAACACACCACCTACTGGCTGAGGATGATACTGTAATCTTCAAAAACACCAATGCATTTAAATTAATGAATATTAATTAATCCATTTTAAGAATGAAATAACTTTGTTTACCCATAGGAGGTCTGCCAGATTTCTGGTGTCTTAGGTTTTCGTGGCCTTAAGGTATGGTTCTAGTAGACAGGCAGACACACTGTTAAATGTTATGTGTATGTATACGGTATATCTATATGGACACCACTCTACAACCAAACTGGAGTTTACCAGTTCTCAGGATGCCAGTGATGTCTCCGAGATTTGCTGGAGAGACGAATCTCAGGATTAGCATCACTAAGGGAGACGATAGTTTGATTTTTGTGTGTTAAATAGCTTTTAATTTTGGGTACACATCTTCACCCATCCTTGGTTAATAGGAAGGCTCATGGAATCTACGTGACAGTATCTGTATGTGTAATCCTCCAAACAGCACTATGGGCCCAGGCACCTGTACCTCAGTCTTCTCCCCTCACTTGGCTTGTTGGTACACTGATGTTCGGCTCATTACAGGTTTGTTTGTGTATTTAGCATGCAGTTGGAAACAAAGCGTGCAGCTGGAGAACAATTATGCAGTTGAAAACTGACCCATGTGCCGTTGGAGAAGCAGAGAACAAATTGGGAAAGTATCTGTTTCTAAAGAACTAAACAGACAGACAGTGCCATGTAACACTTTTTATATTAGGATGAGGAAGTCCTATACTTAAATCAAACTGCTAATAAAAAAAAACAATTTCTTTTTGGCTGGAACCTCCTTTTCTTCACCATCATCTGTACTGAAAGCCTGCAGGGCCTATTGATTTCAAAAATTCAATCTCTCAGCCAGAAGATTTGTATCTTTTTTGTGGAGGGGGGGAGAGGGGTCTCGAAGGGCATTTGTGGAACTGGAAAAGCTGGGTTAAAAATTTGGCTGGTGATTTGGAGCAAGGCAGGGTGTGGAGCACCCACAGCGTGACTCATGACATGAGCCATCCCGTTCAACAGGCTCTGACTGCAGTGGTGCAAAGTTCTCCCCTTGTCTACTCTGCCTCTGTGACATCACAAGGGCCTGCCCTGTTCTCTCTCTCAGAATATTTTACTAACTAAACATGACTGAAATAAGTGTGATTTAATTTTGCTACTATAATTTAACTTTGTTTTCATATTACTTTTTTAAAAAATTTCCTCATTTAATCGTGCTGTGAGCTGTCTTAAGTATTCGGAGAGAGACGGGATATAAATAATGAAAAAGCAAGATATAAAGACATGATATAGATTTTTAAAAGCCAAAGAAATGGCCAGCGATCAATAGATAAAATAACAATTGGTACAAAAGAGAAAGTACTCTTTGAGTAGGTATTAGAAAGGAGACAGTTTGGGATAATGACAAGAATTTAGTCAGAAGTTCTGTTCTGCAATGGCATGTCTGAATTTCCCTGGAGTGTTTCTTATAAATAATAATAACATGCCATCAGGTCAATTCCATCGTATAGTCCTAGTCAATCAGAATAAGGTGCAGCATTTAATTTTCTACACTGGCTTGTGAGAAATTCTATAGTAGAACATAGTTTCTTTCCACCTAGCTATCAGGAGCAGGATACACGAATGGTTTTATGTATTGTCCATGAATTTATCTAATTCCTGTAAAACCCATCCTTTTTGTTGCACATGCAGTGCACAGCAAATACAAAAATGTCTCTGGATTGCATGCTCATTGGCAATTTATTGATCAGAGTTTACTAATCAAAAACTCTACTCCAGAGTAAATATGCTTGTGGTAATTATGGGGGATTTGTGTGTGGTTCATATTTCAATATAGTATTAGCATTTGCCACCAACAGAAGGCTCTGCACAAAAAGACTGGGCTTTTCAGTGATGTCAAAGTATTTATTTATTTAAAATGTTTTCACCTTGCCTTTCATCTAAAAAAGGACCTAAGGTGGCTAAAATAATTAATAACTCAATATTTAATTAATAACTCAATATTTAGAAATAGTAAATTATTCAATTAAAATTAAATAAAAATTATATCTTTTAGAAAAAAGAATTACTAAAAGATTGAAAACAAAAAACAAAAAATAAAAGCCCAACCATCCCATTTAAAAAGCTCTCCTAGGTAGTCACTAAGAAAAAGTTTGCCTGAAGAGAAAGGTCTTCACATGCTCGCAAAAGGAAAGTAAAGGTGGGCCCAGCCTGGCCTCTTGTGGGAGGGAGTTCCAAAGTCTGGAAGGAGCAATAGAGAAGCTCCTCTCTTGTGTCCCCACCAAGTACTTTGAGCACAGTATTTCCTTGTTGTTTTAAAATAGTGGGGCACCTTCCCCTAATGGCATCCTCTCTCACCCTCAACTACCTCACAGGGTTATTATGGAGATAAAATGGGGAAAGGAGGGGAAAAAATCTCACATGTCTCCCAAGGCAGATGGGTTTTAAAGGGTGATACAAAAAGGTAAATGGCCTATCTCATAAAAGTTTCATGTCTTGCACCCATATGTGTAAGGAAGACTCTGTGGCCTTTTGTTTTCAAAAATAAGTTATTAAAAATACAGTAAATGGATAAACTGTATGTTTCAATGGCGAATCAGAGCAGAGGAGGGAAGGGCGCTTACTCTTTTCCCTCACTAGCTTAAAATATCTCCTTCCTAGCTGCTTTTTCACCCCTTTGTTGTGATTCTAGGTCATAAACATGGCTGGAACACTGGTGTGGGTGAGCGTATTAAGAGGACAGGAGCAGACTGGGGTGGAACCAGCTTTATAGGGGTGGATTTGCAATGTACAAAATGGTCCTCTCCTCTCATCCAGTCTGCTTTTCATTTCAAAGGGTGTGTGTGTGGTGGTGGGGAGTTTTCTCATATCATTGGCATGTAAGATTCCGTTCTTTCCCAGAAGCCAGTTTTAGAAGTTATATAGGTATGTTTCTTTCTTTTTTTGGGGGGGGGGAGAAAACAACTCAGGTTGGGATGAAGAGAAGGAAAGAAAATTACCCAAGCTGGGGTGGGGAGGAAGGAAAAAAAGAGATTAATCTCAGACTTATTCCTGGCAATGAAGACCGTTTATTTCTACTTCCTCATTTTTGAATTTGACATCCCTTTTCTCGAGATACTTTCAGTTTTCAGGTGGCACACACATCCAAGGCACAGCTCACACGAATGCTAAGGAAATGAACAAAAACCTTCGTGGTGCAGGAGGGAAAGGCACTTGAAAAGAGCAGAAAAAGAAAGAAAGAAAGAAAGAAAGAAAGAAAGAAAGAAAGAAAGAAAGAAAGAAAGAAAGAAAGAAAGAAAGAGGTGAGTCTTTTTAAGCTTGCCTTCCTCCACTCTGAGGTCTGGGCTGGGAAATCTGGTGTTAGGGCAAACCCATCTGGCAGGGGAAAAATAAACAAAGTACAGTACATGGAAAAGGGGGAGGCGAAGCCTAAAGCACTGGAATGGGCAGGAAATCCCCACCCTAACTTGAAGTTTGTGCAATAAGTGTCCAATAACAGGCTATTGCCCATGTGAGGCTCCTGAGCTTTGGAACAGCTGCCCTCGCTGGCAGGCAGAGAGCGAGGAGGGAAAAGACCCTCATTTTTGTCTTCTGGGGCAGGGCTTTTAGGGCTCAATGTTAAAAAGAAAAGAAAAGAGAGAGAGAGAGAGGGCAGGCAGGCAGAGAGCGAGGAGAGAAAAGACCCTCGTTTTTGTCTTCTGGCGCAGGGCTTTTAGGGCTCAGTGTTAAAAAGAAGAGAGAGAGAGAAAGAGAGAGTTGTGACATACCCACTTCCTATCATTAGGATTTGTGAGCTGAGCTTCAGAACTTGAAAACTCTCACCTTCTGCCTGGAGCTGGTATGACATGGTTTCCAAACTCACTTGATAATAATGCCTTAAGGTTCAGCTCTAAACATGAGCCTTCAGGGGTGGCGGCAACCTTTAGCCGCCTGGGGTTGTGCAAAGTCTGAAGGAGGCATATATTTAGCAGTGGAAGTCTTGCTCATGCTTTCCTCGTCTCTCTTATGTCCTTAGGCTGCTCTCAAGAAGTGAGATGAGTTTGAACAGGAGGTGTGTAGCAAATGGTAGGTTGTTTCCCTTGGGCAAATCCCTACAGTGCTTGGTTAGGATCTGACATCCCAGGGTATACTTCAAGATCCCTGTTCCAGGGGGTGGGGGTGGGACAGGGACACCTGCTCCTGTTCTTTCCCCTTCTTGGTACCTTTGACTATTAATTTACTCACTCTGAGCAAAACTGGACCTGTGTGAAAGGAATTAATGCCCTTTTAAAAAAAGTTTACTTGGTGAATTACTCCTAGGATCTTGATAAACAAAGTCTTGCCTAACTTGATAATAAATAGGGGACCACTTACTTCTGATGCCTTGCTTTAGAACACCCCACTTTTACAACTAGTCCAGTACTACCCAATGCCCCCTCCTTAACATCCAAAACTTACTTTTACAGCTACTGTGGCCCGTGTTATAAACGGGTGTGCTCAAATACAGCAGCAAGAGAGCAGAAGTGGGAAGGAGAAGGGAGAAGAGAGCAGAGGATGCGGGAAGCGTGCCCAGCAAAAAAAGAAGTCCAATGGAGGTGTGAGGGAGGGAGAAGTGAGAAGACAGGGGAGTTCAGAGGGAAGGGCCCAACAAATGAGCAGAAGAGAGCAGGTGTGAGGGAGAAGAGAGGTTTCATTTGTAAGGCATATACATTCCCCAGGGACCAAGCCCTTATTAAATTAAATTAAATTAATTAATTGTTATAAATTATAAATTTTTCTTTAACTTGTTATCCTTTATGTTGTAAGCCGTCTAGAGTGGTCGAAATGACTAGATAGGCAGGGTATAAATACAATAAATAAATAAATAAATAAAATAAATTATTTTAACTTTGAGGCTAAGGGAAAAAATCAGGTTCAACTTAATAACAGTTCCTTTTACAACTTTCAGTAAGCAACCAGTTGTGTTGTAATTGTGGGAGTCTGCTGTAGACTGTTCTAAACTGTTTTTGATTTATTTATTTCCCCTTTTTGAAGGCTGGCCTTATCTGTGTGCTGAACTGCCTGGCAAACATGCTGACCTAGTTTTTCAAGGCATTTAAAGGAAGCTCTGGAAAAGGGGCTTATCCTACTCCATGAGTGTCCCTGCTTGGATTCTTGCACATTCCAGAGAGGAGTTATTAATTCTATGAGCATTGGTGGCTCTCCTTTTGGAATATAGTATTAACAAACTATGTTCTGCAACTTGTTGTATCTTATAGAGTTAGAGGTGAAGGCTCCAATTTGTCATGTTCCTTCTGCTTCCATCTTCTTTCTCTGGTGTTTTCTTTGGGAGGGGGACCTAGTGTCTTGTGCATGGTAAAGTATGGCATGCATTTATGATTCTGTACAAATAAGCAAATAATAAATCAGCTGCTCTGATAGTGGGACAGCTTCTCCAAGCTCCAATGAGCTGTACTCAAAATAAAAAAAATTAAGGAAGCAACACTTTCTTTTCAATTTAATTACCGTATTTTCTGTGTATAAGACACCCCCATGTATAAGACACCCCTCACTTTTCTAATCCAAAAACTAAGACATCTAAGTGGGGTTTAGCAAGTGTAGGGGGGAAGGGATCAGAGCGCTACAGGATTGCTTTGATCCCTGCTTCCCCCTCCACTTGTTTTTGTTCTTTCCTCAGCTTACTTCCATGTATAAGAAGACCATTAATTTATAGTCTAAAGATTTTAGACAAAAGTTTAGTATTATACATGGAAAAATATGGTAATCAGTTTGCCAACCCAACATAAGGCAGCTGAAGGCATTTTGCTGCTTGCAGAAGACACAAAGTGGCTCTATTTTTTCCTAGGCCTAATTTTAAAAAAAATCTTGATCCTAGAGTGGCCATTGATTCATCTCTCCAAAAGAGAAAAAAATGTTTATTATGTGCCATTAAGTTGCATCTAACTTGCAGCAAGTCTTGCAGCAAGGAGTGGTTTTTGCCATTTCTATCTTTCAGTGAGTTTCTGTGGCCTAGTGGGGATTTTAACCTGGATCTGCTGAGCTCCAGTCTGCGACTATCTGCTACACCACTGGTTCTTAACCTTGGGTTAATCAGGAGTTTTGGACTGCAACTCCCAGAAGCCTTCACCACCAACTGTGATGTTTCCATCCAGCACTTTGGCTGTGAACCCAAAAACATCACATATGGTCCGGCTGACTGATGTATGCCCACTGCTTCTCCCTATGGCAGCTCATTTATTTATTTGTTTGTTTGTTTGTTTGTTTGTTTGTTTGTTTAGCCGCACCATTAACAGAGGTATTTAACGCTTGTGTTTAACTGGATTGGGTTTAGACTAGTATAATCCCATGAATGATGAGGTTAAAAAGGGTAATTCTGCTGTATTATTTCATCCAGGAACGGGAGCATTCTGAAGAAGAAAGTTGGTAATTTACTCCTGAATATAGCAGGTATATAAATAGTATATCCGTAGCTGCATGTATAGGACTCCAGATAGATAGCCAGTCCATCTCTTTACCCTTGATGTAACTAATCAAAAGCTTTGTTGTATTCCTATTTTAGAAACATATGAAGCTGTTGCATGACAATTCTCATTCACATTACAAGACAGAGAATCATCCTGCCATGACAGAATCTACAATATAAAAGAGATCGTTGGTGGGCAGGTCAGGCTCCTATCTCATTATGTTCCGTACCAGTCTACTGCCCTTGACGTTCTGCATCCTACTGACCTTCTTCACATGGTTGTATTGGAGTGTTGATGCTTTTGGGATCAAACACTGTATCCTATCCCCAAACAGGACAGGCCTTGCTGTCTGTACTGGCCATGCCATCTTCAACCTGAGTTCCGTCACCTCTCATCTGCCCAACTCCACTCGTTGGCTCAACGCCTCCAACAACGTTGTGAAGGATCTTAGTTCTTCAGACTTCTCCCATCTTCCTCAATTGTTAGAACTTTCTCTCGACCATAACTACATCTCAGGCATTGAGTCTGATACTTTTCAAAACCTGTGGAAGTTGGAGGTACTTGATTTGAGCTGGAACCGATTGACCTCGGTGGACCTCTCCATGTTCAGCAACCTGAGGAACCTACGTGAGCTCCATCTGGGTCACAACAAAATAGCCACCTTGCAGCCTAGCTCCCTCCTGTCCCAATTAGCACTCCAGGAACTTCATCTCTCCTCCAACAATCTCTCCAGTCTGGAGGAGGTAGCCACAGCTGTTGCAGGTTTGCTCAACCTTACTTTCCTGGATCTCAGTTTAAATCACATATCTGCACCATGCATGGGCCCCAGTTGGATCACTTTTCCTGTCCTGAGAAATCTTATTTTAAACAACAATAGCATTTCTAGGCTGGATTTGTCCAACTGCTCTTTTCCCAGTCTTCAGCACCTGAACCTAACCTGCAACAATATATCAAAAGTGGAGCCTGTATCATTTCGAGCTACACCTGCTTTGGTGGAGTTGGCCTTGGACGTGAACCCCTTACACATTTCCCAACTTTTCAATGTGTCGCTTCCTAACCTGACTACATTGCATTTATCCAGTATGAACCCATCACTAAACACCTCCCTGCCTGAAGCTTGCTTGGTGTTCCAAAGTCTCCCATCTTTGACCTCTTTGGACATCAAGCATTCCAAGATGAGTGCATCTCAACTGAAGCTACTGGGTTCCTGCACTAACCTTACCTGGTTGGATTTATCTACCACAGAGTATAAATATTTAAAAAATGGGACCTTCAGTACATTTCAGAACTTGGAGTTCCTCTCACTAGAGAAATGCAAGGTCCTGAAACTCAGTTCTAGTGCTTGGGGGGAGGGGATGAAGCTCCGTACGCTGATTCTGAAGAGAAATGGTATCGGTCAATTGGAGGATGATGGCTTCATTAAACTAAGAAACCTGAGCTACTTGGATCTATCAAAGAATCACTTGACCAACATCTTTCAGAAACACTTTTTTGGCATGGAAGCACTGCGGACGCTTATCCTGCAGGGCTGCCAGATTACGGCTGTTACCCGTGACACCTTCCATTATGCTCGTAAAATGGAGTATTTGGACCTGAGGGATAACAGCATTAAATTAATCAAGGATCGTGCCTTTTTGCTCAAGCATGTGAAGACACTCCTGCTTTCAGGGAACAAAATCCTCACAATTAAAAAAAATGGCCTTCTGAGTCTCAACTCCCTGACATACCTCTACCTGGATCATAACTTACTTTATAAACTATCTTGGAAAATCTTTTCCTTTCTAAAAAAACTGGAAGTCTTGGACCTCAGTCACAACTGCCTATTTACTTACAACAAATATGATTATCCAAGTCCGTTTGCTGGCCTCTCTTCCCTTCGCAAGCTGGATCTTAGTTTTCAGACTCCTGATTTACCCATCCATCCCTCAGCCAAATACTTTGATGGCCTGGGGAATCTTCAGTACCTTTCTCTGAAGGGCAACACAGATACCTTGCTCCTTAACCTCTCTTTGGTCAGTCTGACTAGCTTGGAGTCCCTAGACCTTTCTGAAATTCAGCCAGGGAAGAGTGGCTCCTGGAAGCCCCATCGAAGTAACTTCCAAGGTCTGAGTAAACTACATCAGCTTTGGATAGAAGGAAGTGCCATCAGGGATCTGCCTGAAGCGGTCTTTAGTGATCTGGCCTCTCTGAAGGAGCTTTATCTGAGTAAAAATGACTTGAGGAACATCAGCAAAAAGGTGTTCGTGGGACTCTCCTCCTTAAAGTATCTAGATCTCTCTGAGAATCCCCTGACATGTTCCTGTGAGAACGCCTGGTTTCAAAACTGGTCTATATCTGAACCAAATATCCAAGTGGCCTTGTTGAACTCCTATCATTGCTTTGGCCCTGGTGTGACTGACCGTCTCTTTGTTGATGAAGACATGTCCTTCTGCTTTGAGGATTTGGGAATTTATTTCTTTCTCTCTACCATTGTGTTCACTCTGTTGTTCCTGGTTTCAACTTTGGTCTATGCCAAGTTTGGCTGGACCCTCAGGCATGCTTATTATCTGCTGAGGGGATGGGGCTACAGACAACTGCGCCAGAAAGGCCAGATTTATCAGTATGATGCCTATATCTCTTGTTGTGGCCAGGACTATGAATGGGTGGTGAAGAATATTCTGGAAAAGCTGGAGAATGAAGGAGAACCTTTCTTCCGGCTCTGCTTTGGGCCTAGAGATTTTGCCCCTGGAGAATATTACATCAACAATGTACAGAATGGAATAAGCCAAAGCCATAAGACTCTTTGCTTGGTTAGCAGAAATTACTTGGAGGATGAATGGTGTTCCCTGGAAATCCAACTGGCTTGTTCTAAGATCTACTACCATGGACAAGATCCTCTGGTTGTGGTCTTTATGGAGGAAATCCCTCATTACAAGTGAGTGGGGATAGTATCAACAAGAAAAAGGAACAGAAATGTTGGGAGAACAATGCAAGATTTTTATATAGATTTATTCCAATGGCAGAGGTGGGCAGAAGGTAGTGGGTTAATAGGGACTCTGATGATAATGTTGGATATGGGAGCAGGAGAAAGTGATCTTCAACATTCTTGTCACATGACAGAGTTTCACACAGCACTATGTTGTTGACTGAAACAGAGTAGAAGCAGTGCAGCATGTACAATTAATAGACGACTCCCCCCCCCCGGGCTTCTCCCAGAACTAGAACTGTGTAAGTGTGTATGTATAAATTGGCCAAGGCAACTGGCAGGCAAGAGAAAACATTCACACAATGCATAACTAGTTGATAAAACTTGGTCCTAAGAGGTGCTGTAAGATTCATTATTATTTGTACTGTATTTGCTGGCGTATAAGACTACTATTTTGCCCTGAAAAACATGCCTCTAAGTGAGGGGGGTGTCGTCTTATACGCCAGTTGCACTTCAGTTGGGATAGACATAGCTGACCATAGTGGCCTTCCGATGCTTGCCTGGTGCCCATAGTAGCCTCCTGATGTCTGCCCACCTCATTCTACATACCGTCCAGTATCACGCGGTATCCAGCGCGGCCGTGGCGAGCATCAGCAGCGAGACGGGGTGCCAGCCTTTTCGACGTGACCGGCCTGTTCTGCTCAGCGGGAAGCAGCGGCGCTCCGCCCTGCCCCTTGTCTACGCAGAGCTCACACATGCACACTTGCGCACTAGTGCCGGTCACAGGGAGATGCAGGGGCAGGCCAGAGGTGCTGTGGTCACACTGCGGCTGTACAATGGTGACAATGAATAGCACCTTTTATTTGGTGTGTGGAAGGTATGTGGAAGAGGGGGTAGTCTTATAGGGCGAGTATATAACAAACTCTATATTTTAAGTGGAAATGTTGGGGGGGAGTCGTCTCATATGCCCAGTCTTATACGCCGGCAAATACGGTATTTCATTTCCATGGCACCTTTCTCCCAATTAGGGGTTCCTGATGGCTCATGAATGGTGAAAAAGAATATAGTCACTAGCACAGAGATTCCCAGATCCATAATGTGGTGATTTCTTTATTAGGTCAACCAAAAAGTCACAAAATATTGTGTGTCTGTCTTGTCTGTCTGCACACCTGTCAGATGATGGGAAATCTGAATCCTACTTTCTTTCCTAGATTGTCTCCCTTCCATCGCTTGAGGAAACTAGTTAAACACGAGAGCTATCTCACTTGGCCTGAGGAGCCAGAGGCTGAAAATGTGTTTTGGACCAAACTACGTGAGGCTTTGAGCTCTGGAAAAGAAGAAGAGAGGCTCATAGAATTCAATGTTGTTGAGTAGCTGATGACATAGAAGGAAAGCACCCCAGCAGATCTTGCTGGCATGAGTTGATCTGGATTGAAGTGAAGCAGATGGGAACACTGATCGTTCAGTCGCTACTACGAGCTCTGTATCCCATGGCATGGATGCATCAGTATTTTTTAAATGGTGTTTTATCAATGGGCCTGTGATACAGGAACCTGTGAGGCACATGTTTGATTTCCAGGAAGGTACAATATTCTGAGGAAAACTGTATTGGGAAAAAATGTTGTTACTTAATGTGTTAAATCACACTAGAGTAGGCCCATTGAATCAAAGGTGATTTGGTGAATCAATTCCTCTGTAAATTCCATAGAATCAAATGCATGTACTTTACCGTCAGCTATCATAATAAGCAATAGGATTTTAGACACTTAAGAGTAGTAAATGAATGCTTAACAAATCACAAAAGAAAATTATGATTTTACATTTAAAAAATCCTTCAGAGTTGAATCAATATGATTTTTAAGGTTATAAGCCTCTTTTCAATATTTATTGTTTTTAATATAAGTACTGTACTCTACAGTGACTTAATGGGCTTTTTGAAAATCGCAAATAAGTAATTTAAAAGACTCAGTAGTGTAAACATTATACATTTAGAAATTTGTCAGATTTATAATTACTTTTCAAATTTAATACTTCTATAGTCTTTAGAAAATCTGTTTGTAAATTGTACCTGATTAGTATGATGCATTTGGCTAAAATAAGTAGTTTTCGGAGGAGTAGCGGTGCTAGTCTGTGCAGGATTATCAAACAAAAAACTCAAGACAAGACAAAAACCACAAGAGACAAAAATGTCATGGCACTTTGAAAACTAATATATTATAAGGTGTGTTTTCATGGATCAAGTCCACTCAGGAAGTGGTCTCAATCAAGGAAAGCTCACATTAAAATATAATAGTTTTTAATCTGCCCAAACATTGTTGCCACTCTCTCTCTTTTGTTTCCTTTTGTTTTGTTTTTTGTCTAATTTGGTTAAAAGAGGGTCACTTTGTGCAGTGTTAACTACAGGTTGAATCCAGACACTGCATGTTTAGGAGAAGGGTTTAATTTGAAATTTAAATGTGGCACAGGCATTGGTGGGTTTTTCATATACAGTAATGGCATCCTCATCATGACCTCATCTCATATTTTTCTATATGAAAACTTGGCACTTTCTTGCCTCAGAACAATTCATGAATAATGGTTGTTGTGGGTTTTTTCGGGCTCTTTAGCCGTGTTCTGAAGGTTGTTCTTCCAGTCTCTGTGGCCGGGATG